TTGCCAGCCAAATAGAAAGGCATGTTTTACCATGGTCCATCATGAAGAAGTTGCCATATGGTGAAGCGACTGGGTAGATTCATGAGATATTGACATAGAGGAATATCCTGACCAGTGAACCACTGGTTGGTGGTTTGGCACATTTTTTGTTTTCCCCAATAGTTGGGATGATGATCCAATCTGACTAGTATTTTTCAGGGGGGTTGAAACCACCAATTAGACCAAGATGTGTATATTTGTTTCTGTGATTGGCCATGATTGTGAACCACCATATGGGACAAAAAATCAGGATGCTTACTCACACTGACCATATATGGGTGTTTCTGAAAATTGGGGGTACCCCAAACATATTGGTTTCTCCCTTCAAAATATTATCAAACCTTTAGATGATTCGTGGGTCCCCCATGACTCAAGAAACCTCCGTGACCAGAATTTTTGGACACGCCAAAATATATGACATTGTTGGTTATCCATGAAATATGCCCAAGATATCCCTAAGATATCCCTAAGATATCCCTAAGATATTGTTGGCTTCAGAAATCCCATGAAATCCCATGACGCTCCGCCAGGTTCGTCGGGTGGATTCCAATGTGAATCGGGGCCTGGAGGATGTTGTGGCACCGGGTGTGCCGGGGAAGTCTCCAACAAAAAAGGCTAGATATATACTGGTTGGTGGTTTCCAAACATTTGGCAATTTTCCATTTCATATAATATGGGATATTTTTTCCATTGACTAATATGTTTCAAGATGCTTAAAACCACCAACCAGATTTATATTTTGTTTGTTCAACAGTTTTGATAGTTCAAATCTGCTTCTTGGTTGGTTAGCTCGTGTTAAATCTACAAGTTTCTTGATTTTGAACCCCATGTGATCATCTTTTCTACGAAAAAGATCACCCAAAAGCTGCAAAAACAAGACATTTCTTGATTTAGATCTCCATTTTCCATCATTTTCCATCATTTTCCATTATTTCCCATCATTTTCCTCATGTTTTCCTAAGCCAATCTCCGCAAGCGCCAGGAGCTGCAACAACAGTTCTTAGACCTTACTCAGCTCTCACAGCAGGGTCAGTGTCCAGCTCGCTTCGCTGAATCCTTGGGGAATCATGGACAAAATGGTGATTTTACCACTATAAATGGTGATTTAATGGTGATTTTGATGGTTTAAGAATGGTGAATCATGGGATGATATTGGATTTAGCCTCTGGTAAACTAACATAGCTTTAGGAAGAACTTGGTCAGCCACAGGCTGAGAATCCTGGAAATAATTATTTTGTCATTTTTTTGTCATTCTTCTGTCATTTGGCCTTGTCATTTTTTTGTCATTCCTAAATTCTACCTGTCATTGTTCTGTCATTTTTCTGTCATTTTTCTGTCATTTGTGCTGTCATTTTTGTGTCTTTTTCTGTCATTTGATCTGTCATTTTTTTGTCATTTGCCTTGTCATTTTTTTTGAGCTGGTTTTCTTTGATTTCTTCACTTTTTTCATTTGTTTTCGTTGTTTCTCTTCATTTTTTCATTGGTTTCCTTCATTTTTTGAATAGTTTTCTTTGAATTTATCATTTTTCCAATTGCTTTCTTCAATTGTTCAATGGATTTATTGATTTCATGCTAGAAAATTAAAGAAAATTTCGAAAAATTAAAGAACAACATCAAAAATTGTAGAAAATGATAGGAAAATGATAGAAAAATGACAGAAAAATGACAAAAAAATGATAAAAACCCAAGGTTTTTTAACAATTTTCATTTTTTTTCTGGTTCATGAAACTTTGTCATTTTTTGGTCATTTTTTTGTCATTTTTCATTGATTTCCTTCATTTTTTCATGCTTTTCCTGTATTTTTCTAATTTTTCAATGGTTTTCCGGTTTTCCTTGATTTTCTTCAATTGTCTATTGGTTTTCTTCATTTTTCACTGGTTTTCTTTGAGTTCTTTACTTTTTTCATTTGTTTTCGTTGTTTCTCTTCATTTTTTCATTGGTTTCCTTCATTTTTTGAATAGTTTTCTTTGAATTTATCATTTTTCCAATTGCTTTCTTCAATTGTTCAATGGATTTATTGATTTCATGCTAGAAAATTAAAGAAAATTTCGAAAAATTAAAGAACAACATCAAAAATTGTAGAAAATGATAGGAAAATGATAGAAAAATTACAGAAAAAAGACAAAAAAAAGATAAAAACCCAAGGTTTTTAACAATTTTCATTTTTTTCTGGTTCATGAACATTTGTCATTTTTTTTGTCATTTTTTTGTCATTTTTCTGTCATTTTTCATTGATTTCCTTCATTTTTTCATGCTTTTCCTGTATTTTTCTAATTTTTCAATGGTTTTCCTTGATTTTCTTCAATTGTCTATTGGTTTTCTTCATTTTTCACTAGTTTTTTTTGATTTCTTCACTTTTTCATTTGTTTTCTTTGTTTCTCTTTTTTTTTTTCATTGGTTTCCTTCATTTTTTGAATAGTTTTCTTTGAATTTCTCATTTTTTCAACTGTTTTCTTCACTTTCTCAATGGATTTATTGATTTCATGCTAGAAAATTAGAAAAAATTCGAACAATTGAAGAAAATCATCAAAAATTGTAGAAAATGATAGGAAAATGATAGAAAAATGACAGAAAAATGACAAACAAATGATAAAAACCCAAGGTTTTTAACAATTTTCAATTTTTTTCTGGTTCATGAAACTTTGTCATTTTTTTGTCATTTTTTTGGCGTTTTTGATTGATTTCCTCCATTTTTTCTTGCTTTTCCTGTATTTTTCTAATTTTTCAATGGTTTTCCTTGATTTTCTTCAATTTTCTATTGGTTTTCTTCATTTTTCACTGGTTTTCTTTGATTTCTTTACTTTTTTCATTTGTTTTCGTTGCTTCTCTTCATTTTTTCATTGGTTTCCTTCATTTTTTGAATAGTTTTCTTTGAATTTATAATTTTTCCAATTGTTTTCTTCACTTGTTCAATGGATTTATTGATTTCATGCTAGAAAATTAAAGAAAATTTCGAAAAATTAAAGAATAACATCAAAAATTGTAGAAAATGATAGGAAAATGATAGAAAAATGACAGAAAAATGACAAAAAAATGATAAAAACCCAAGGTTTTTAACAATTTTCATTTTTTTTCTGGTTCATGAAACTTTGTCATTTTTTGTCATTTTTTGTCGTTTTTCATTGATTTCCTTCATTTTTTCATGCTTTTCCTGTATTTTTCTAATGTTTCAATGGTTTTCCTTGATTTTCTTCAATTTTCTATTGGTTTTCTTCATTTTTCACTGGTTTTCTTTGATTTCTTCACTTTTTCATTTGTTTTCTTTGTTTCTCTTTAATTTTTTCATTGGCTTCTTTCATTTTTTGAATAGTTTTCTTTGAATTTCTCATTTTTTCAACTGTTTTCTTCACTTTCTCAATGGATTTATTGATTTCATGCTAGAAAATTAGAAAAAATTCGAACAATTAAAGAAAATCATCAAAAATTGTAGAAAATGATAGGAAAATGATAGAAAAATGACAAAAAAATGACAAAAAAATGACAAGGACAAGGGACAGGACCAAAACAAAAAACAACAAAAAAATGACAGAAAAATGACAGGGACAAATGACAGGACAAAAAAAAACGACAAAAGCAAATGACAAAAAAATGACAATGCAAACGACAAAATCATTATTTTCATGTACCCCAGTGTGTGGCTGCAAGTGCCTTCTAAACATAGCTGTTGAACATCACCATTTTTAGTGTGTAAATCCACTATTTCTATGGCCATGGCTTCAATAGCTATTTTGACATAACCAGAGGGTCCCCGGCCTGGTAAACGTTTACAGTTTGCGAACTGGAAAATCTATGGGCCATTTTCATTCGCAAACTGTAACAAATTACAAGAGGGTAGGGCATATGAATCATTGATGGTTAATACCGTTCAGAATGGTGGCTGAATGTGGCTGAATTCTGATGGACAAAATGTTTGATTCTGATTATTGATCATAAACTGGATCTGGTTTGGAAATACTAAAAATGCATCATCCTGATGGAACAACATGGATGTGTTTTGACCGCATGAAATTGAAGGGAAGAAATAGAGAGAACATGAGAGAACTATTGTTTTTACTCTAACTGATGGGGAGACTCCTGCAAGTGTTCACTATGCCTTCGTCGCGGATGACGTTGATGATGTGTATACATGTAGATATACATGTATACTGTATATTATATACATGAGTATGGGTTCATACCATGTGGTTAACATTGACAAAACTATGGAAAATCACCATTTTCAATGGGTAAATCCATTATTTCTATGGGCCATTTTCAATAGCAAACTGTAACAAATTTCCAGATGTTCAGCAGCAATCGTGGGTGAGAATCCCGGAATTCTCTGAGACTTGAGACGACTGCGTGTGGTCTGATTTTCAGCTGATTGCAACCAGGAATGAGGTATACCACTTGTGGCTGCAGTTCTTTCTTGCAAGTGACTGTATCCCATGATCTATTTTAAAAAACAAAACAATAAGTATATATGTTATATAAAGATAGTTATAAACGGTTTAATCCTTATATCCTCAGGTATGCTGGCAATTTTGATGCCCATTTTGCTTGACGCCGCAGTGTCACTCCTCAAAGAGGACCATGGAAGGAACGTTCCTTGGGACCCAAACAGCAGGTGATCTAGGGAGCCGACAGAAACGAGATGAATCACCGGTATCTCTTAGCTGTACCCTCTGGTTATGTCAAAATAGCTATTGAAAATGGCCATAGAAATAGTGGATTTACCCATTGAAAATTGTGATTTTCCATAGCAAAATGTTAGTTTACCAGAGGGTACAGTACATGTTATCTACATGTTGCCAACAAAATCATGAACAATGGCTAGGACATAATAAGTTCCATGGGAGAATATTCTTACCACAAAAAGGGCAGCAGATGCAATAGTATGGTAGCAAACCACATATCATCTGATTTCTGAAACAGTTTTGCAACCATGGCATTTCTATTCCAAGCTTTCTTCAGTATTTTTTTCTTTCACCTCGTTCCGTTGTCGTGCCATGCCGCCCAAAGCAGATGCGAAGGCCAAGGCCAAGGCCAAAGGAAAGGCTGCGGCCGCACGACGACCTAGCCAAGCCAAGGTTCAAAAGCCCGGCATCTTGGGCGCAGATGTTTTTTCACATTGTGCACAAGGTGGGGCGTTGGTTTATACCTAGGTTCACTATGGTTTCTGGTAGATACATCTATAGTTGATGGGGTGTATAAACCCCTCAAAACTGAGGGGGGCACCACCATGCAGACATGATTTGGGTGGTGTATAGCCAATAACAATAATTATATATATATAGGTTTAACCAAATATATTGGTATGTAACCAAATATATGTTATTTGGGGGTATAATCAAGCAATAACAATGGGATATTCATGGTCAGATGTTTCATGGAATATATAGCCAACAATCTGATGTTTGGTGTCTGAAACTGATGTATTGTTTCCCAATAAAATGGCAAATTGACCACGGTTACCATGATGATTTTGTCGGAAGTGGAGGTGCCATTTTGTATCGCCAGATCATCATGGCCTGTATGGCGGTACAATGGGGTGGTGCCAGTTCGGAATCGCAAAGTTGCTGCCAATAGGTCCAATGTCACGACGTGGTTTATAGGTGATATAACCAATTTATAGTTAATGGGACCAATAACTATAGTTAATTGTTTATAAACCATAGTTGATATAATCCCATTAACTATGGTTTATAGGTGATATATCGAACTAGTTCATGGGATTATAACATATTATAACCCATTGATAACTGGGGCACCACCTTGTAATATACTCACGAACTCAAAAAGAAATCCTGTCCAAGTTGGGTGCCCTGTAGTGAAATGTGTATTGATGTGCAAAGCATGGTCAACCTAGTGATTTGAAGCAACTTAGCTATCTTAGGGGTACCCCTGTGTAGGTCATTATGTAGGAGAGATGATATACCATTTTTGGGGGGATTAAGGATGATTATAGGCCATTCTGGGATTGTTGTGACCGGATAGAATCGGGAAACCAACATCATTCCTCGAGTTTTCGAGCATTGACACTATATACGTGATGGTTGGATTAAAGGAGGTGTACTACCTACTTTCATTAGGGATTATGAGCTGCCCCATGCACTGGGAAGCCCTATGTTTTTGATGAGATTATGGTGGATTACATGTAGCTAGAATGAAAGGGTGTAGCTTATTTGTAAACCTCGTTGGGGTGACTGATTGGCAGGCTGAATCGGATTATTCAATAGGTGTTTAGCATTGAAGTTAATCTAACAAGATATGGCCATTTAACCAGCAAAAACATGGGGAAACCTCAGGTGCTTTGCCATTTTGCCCATCAAATGCTGGAAGCCAGCATGCCAGCAATACATTCACAAAACACTTTCTCTCGGATTATCCCAGGATATAGGATATCCCAGGCCAGCCCCAACTTCAACAGATCTCAGGCAGCAAGAAAGGCGCCAATGTCCCCGTGGAGATTGAGATCAAAGCGACGCTGGATTCCGCTCTCAACAAAGGAGATGCACCCATGAGAGTGGGAGGGATCGAAGTCACGGGACGCTGAAATCGGTGAAATCGGTGAAATCGGGGGCTGGCTGGGCTGGGGGCTGGTGCTGATGAAATTAGGGCTGTCGTAACTCAAGAATCTGTTTATATATAGAGTTTATACGATGGAAATCCAAAACAGTGGGACAAATCCCATGGTTTGATGTTTGATGATATTTTGGATGAATCATTTTGAGCAGTCCAAATAATTGAGTTGTGGTGTCGCCCTTTTATATCCTTTTGTCACAGTAGAAGAACTGAGGGGCTCGTCAAGATGCATGTTTTTCTTCAGTAGCTCAATCGTGAGTCATGCAGGGTACTGGAGCATGTAGAACCTTTGATGCACAGGAAGGTGCCCCGCTTCCTTCGCTATCAGTTGGTGCAAGTAACTATAGCAACTGTTGGATTTATGATGGATATATGATATATATCGAACTAGTTAGATTGGGTTATAAACCAAGAAACAGAACATTTGGGGGCTCCTTCCTGTACTCCTTTACTTGGGATCAATCCGTCGCAACACCAAGGACAGCACAGGCTCTCACGCATTTTGGTTGAGTCCATAGTGGCCTTACCCTTCGTTCGAGGTTTCTCCAAGGCCGGTGGTTGGTCGGAATGACTCAGACGGATGATACTCAGAGCTCCTCATAGCTCTTCTAAGAACTTCATTTGGGTGTGTCTGAAAATGGGAATTGAAGCCCCAAATATGTAAATTTGAAAAGAAAATCATGATCCAACATTGGGATTGTAGATACATGTAGATACCCTATCTTCAAATAAATCAATATTTTGTGTTTTGAGCCTCTCAGAACCTCTAAGAAGCCCGGCATTTGTCGGGCCTTTCGATTGGAAGTTCAGATGTTTTAGGTCTATAAATTCCTCGTCACCCGTTCATCAGCCAAGTTGAAGGTTTAATTTATGAACTATTGTTTTGCCTATAGCAGCTGTGCAACCTGCCTACTGTATGTGTCGGGCTTGCAGTTCCGCTCAACACACATTCACGATTGGCGCACCACCTTGGGTGATTCTCCGAGATATTCATAGATATTAGAGATTCCTCTCACCGGCATTTTAATCCAACAAAACTCTTCTTGCCATCCCCTAGATGCTCCATGTATGGTATATTGACCTACATAACTGGGTGATTTATGTTGGGCAAATGTTGGGATTCATATTCCAGCACCATGGTTCGCATATGGGTCCCAACTGGCCACCCGTAGCAGAGGTCTGTTTGCGGCGCATCTCCTACTACCCCAAGAGCCCTGAGCGCCTGGGTCCCGCGCCCTCCTTGTCGCTGAGCCCCGCGAGCGCGCGCAGTGCGCGGACAAAGCCGCAGAGTGAGGCCATCCAATTCATCCAAGTGGAGGACCCAAGGCGTCAAGTGGGATAAGTCATGGTATTTTTACTCACAATAGTGTATAATATAATAACATATATATATATATTTAAATATAATTATATGTTATGTAATTATATATATATACACATTATCATATCATATATGGAGGTATATCGGTGTGTACATATATATATAATTATATGTATAATATATATATATATATATGATATGATATATTTATATACTACCTGACGTTTTTTTTTGGATCGGTTTTGCTGAGGAAACGCGAGCGGAGGAGGTGGACTGTCCCTCGCTGTTTCTGGCGCTTTGCCTCGGGATCGAGGCCTCCAAGCCGCAGCTGATCCGTGTGGGACCCGCTGAGCTGCTGGCCGAGGAGGCGCGGAACCATATTTCATGTAGGAACATCGGATCTCTTTTATGTACATTAGAATGTGTATATATATATATATATTATAGATTAATAGATGGATGGATAGATGGATGGATGGATAGATAGATAGATGTCAAATAGAAAAAGGAAGCATGTGATTTTCAGATGGATGATAAGAACACACATATATATATATATAGAGTCATGTTTGTATTTATAGTATAACCATATCATTTTTTGTTATAGAACGCTTGCGCGAGTCATTAGCAAGCATGAATTTGAGATGGATGTTTGAAAGGTTTCAGCTAAAAAGGATCCCTTCTCTATTCTTGGTAATAAATGATCATAGTTTAAGCCGTTTAAATGTATGTTCTTAAGATCGTGGATGGCGAAGATACTTGACTAATTATGAATAAAGTAGAATCATGATTTCAAGTGTAGTTACTGATGAGGGGGTGATTGTATTGAATAGTTTGGAATGCACCCAATGGAATTGATTTCAATCAAACGGACAGTAAATGAAAAGTAAAAGCGACATACCAGCAAGATGAGTGAAATGTTGGTGATATGTTGTTTGATGTGTGACATTCTTCATTTGTTGAAGGGAACAGTACATGTTTCATGCATAATTTGCACACATAAATTATGATTAACGTTGAAAGCAAAGACGAAAAGAAATGAGCATAACCCCATCCTAACCCCATTCTTTTTCATGATCTTCATTGACACTCCCATCAAAAACAAGTTGACTTCGACATTTTTCGCCAAGGCGAGAGAGCTGCAGAAGTACCAGGATGCCTATGGTATCTCTTCAGCCCAGGTGCAGCAGCTGCCAGAAGTGGTGAATACCAGGCATAAGCACAGCCTGATGGTCATCCCACTGGCAGGCGGCGTGGGCCAAGGGATCCAAGGGATCCAAGGGATCCAAGGGATCCAAGGGCGCCCATGTGACCACCGGAGTGTTGCTGGAGTAGAGGTTTCTTGAAGCATACATCACCACAACACATACAACATACCATGTATCTCTATGTATATATATATGTATTTACTTACTCTATAATTATACGATTGCACATTAATACATATAGTATATTATTTTCAATTATATATATATACATATATATATATATAGATATACATACATATATACACATAATTCACATATGTAATGTATACACATACACAGGGATACACCAAAAAGTGCCGCCCGCTTGGTCCCGAGATGTTGGCCCTGGGCAGACACGCCCAACTCGGGGCCGCACCATACATGGTTACTATAGTAACTATAGATATATGGTTTATACACCATCCAGTCAGTAACTATCGATATATCTCGCATAAACCTGAGTTAGTGGAATTATAAACCAACTTAGCTAACTATGGGGCACCACCGGCCACTCCGACCTCAACGCAGAACCTCAGGCGGACGATGTTTGCTCCCACCCTTGTCGGAAGCTGCTGTGGAAGACATCAACAGCTTCACAAAGATTTTCAACGATGCTTGGAATGGGATATGCCTTGTGATCGAACTCCACCATGATTTCCTACCACTTGCAATATGTTCTGGTATAAGGATTTTCTTTGTTGTTTCTTTCGTTTTCATTTCGTCAGAATTTCGTCAGACTTTTCGTCGGGTGCTTTGTGGCAAAACGTTTTGCCACAACATTTTGCCACAAAAAAAATCGTCAAAATTTCGTCAAACAATTCGATCAAATTTCGTCAAACTTGAGTTGAAGTAACGAAATCTTTGACGAAATTTCAACGAAATTCTCACGATCATTTTTTGTGGCAAAAGGTGTGGCAAAATGGATTGCCACAAGGATTGCCACGAAATCTTCAACGAAAGCTTTAACGAACTCTCAACGACCAACTGACGTTATACCATTCCTATTGCAAATCATGAGCAGCACCAACACAAGATATGCCCTCAGGAAGGGCCCCCCTAGTTATAAGTTGGTTTATTACTTCATCTAGCTATAGCTCTATCCCCCATAAACCTTCGCTAACCAAGTTATAAGTCAACTTAGCTAACTATGGGGCCCCTTCTTGTGGTATTTATGGGAATTCATGTGATTTTATATGATTTTATGGTGATTTCATAGGGATTGATTGAACCAACAAACATGGGGATGTTAATGGGAATAGCCACCATGGTAATCAAACATGGCCAGCTGAACAGTCCCACCCAAAAAAAAGCGGAACATAAGAGCACCGCACCTCAGGGATTGATAGGTCCCCCAGTAAATACCTATCTGGTTGGTGGTTTGGAACATTTGTTATTTTCCATATATTGGGAATAATATGGAATAATCATCCCAACTGACTAATATTTTTCAGAGGGGTTGAAACCACCAACCAGCTATAGATTATTTGCCCTTTGGAAATGAGAAGTTCCCATTGCCATGTTTGATTGAGGCTAAATGACGCCCCAACACTTCAGATGATGGAGCGACCAATGGTAGTCATTAGGAGTAACTACCCAATCTGGACCCATAGCCATTTTCCTATAGGTACCCATTAGGTACCCATTAGGTACCCATCCCATTTTCGCAGGTGAACGCCATGTTTTTGTTGGTGAAATCAGTGAACACATCACCACTTCTGTTTCTTTCATCCTCAGATTTGACACTGTCTTTTGTTGCTGGTGAATCTCCAAAATAACCATTATCTCTCAGAATATATGTCTGCTGTACTAGTTCGTTTTTATAGATCATGTGAAATCACCTATATCTACCAGTTGGCGCTTTAAATATCAGGTGGGGCTAAGTTTATAGCAGCACTCGGTGGTTCCCATCCCCAACGGGCCTCGCCAAGGACGCCATCAGCGCCACGGATGGCCCAGACTCTGCGGGCTTCATCAGTTTGGCCCTGCAGGGGACGCAACACGTCTGCTGCAGCGTGCTGTTGCAGCCCATGCTGCGGGGATGTACTGAAACCTGGCCAGACTACTTGGTATATATATATATATATTTACATATACATACATATATATATATACATATACATATATACATATATACATATATATTTATATATACACATATATATATATATACATATATATATACATTTATAAATATATATATATATATATACACATTTTTTTTCACTATGATGGGGCCCCCTACTGATAGATTTCACCAGAGTTTAAACTGGGCCCCATATCCCTAGGTCTTGTAACCATGGTTATGCCCATAAAAGTAGGCTATAGGCTATAGCCCCAAAATGAGAATCCAATGGAATGATGTTTTCAGTTGGGATTCACCCTGGTTATTTTTACATCCCCAAGTCATCACCATCTTTATGGGTTCTATAAACCGTCCCCAGTCATGGTAGGTTTATGATATTGGGTTGTTCATGAGGTACTCAAGTGATACATGGCATGAGGAGAATGATAAAAAAATGGATTCTTATATGGATAAATAATATATGGATTATGGATAACGTATGGATGATATAGGCGGATGCTAGATGGATATGGTGATCTATTGTGATTTATTGACATATCTGGTTTCATTTCTACTGGGTGTGTCTGAATAAGGGGGTGTGGCTTTTCACTAGGAATATGAAAAGGAACAATGTATGAACATAAATGAGTCTAAAAGATATTCCAAGTTGGATGATGTGCCATTTTTCCAAGGGGAAATCTGCCAGAAATGGAGAATGTATCTTTGGATATCTTTGGTTTGTGGGTGTCACTTTTTGAGCCGAGGAAGAGTTGATCAATTTGACCCAAGTCTTCACCAACCTTGAGGATATCATGCTAGGTGCCGTGGTACGCTGCGGGGAGACGCAATTCAGGACGTCATGGCGAGGGGTTGGCTGTGTATAAAGGTAACAAAGTGGGGCCCCTAGATAAAGCTAAGTTGACGTATAGTTAACTTGGTGAACGTTCGGGTTTAAGGGGGAATATATCTATAGTTAGATGGTTTTTTTTTTCATCCAACTTATAACTGGGGGGCACTACCAACAGTATGAAAATCGTTGTGCGGAGAATCCATCAGCGGATGATCCATGAAGCACTAGACTATTTGTAATGTGATATCTTGGTGGCCTTCAAAGTGACCATATTGTAATGTGATATATATATATATATACATAATATGTTATATATACATAATACTATACATATGAACTACTAATATATATATATATATACATACCCATGGACTTATTCCAACTGGATACACATATGGTACACACACATGTACTCCCCCTGGAATCATGGGTGTTTATCCTGGGGCACCTCTCAGGTGCATGGCGTCGTTTTTTTGGGCCAGGGGGTATGTTTTTTCGCCAAGAAAGATATGCGACAAAAATGAATACAACAAAAAGTCAGCCATGAATCATTTTCTCTATGGGGATATTCCCTTACATAGGCCTTATATAGGCCTTATATATGGTAGGTACCTCCAATTTAGGTTCCTGAAATGGCCATTGATTTACCAGGTGTTTTTTTCATCATCTTTAAAGCTGTTCCCATAACTTTTCCATGGCTTTCCCCATCATTTGCAGCTTTCCAGCCTTGTGACGAAAAGACGCCACGGCTCGAAGAGGCAAGACGCACCCGGAACTCAGTGTGGACTACTACGATGGCCGCACAGCAGCAAGCGGTGAATGGCCATAGGAAAAAGCTTACTTGGTTAAGGGATATACGGATATACCCATCTTATATAGCTATAATGCTGTATGTATATACAGCATCAACCCCAAAAAAGGTAGAATAGTCAGATCCTACTAAAATGGTAACATATCACTGGTCACTTGTTTCTAAATCTTTATTGGGGTTATTTTAGCATATATCGTCATTCAGAAGTGGGATGCACATCCAAGTGGGGTTGGATGGTTTGACCCATGATGTCAATGCTTTGAGAACCATTCAAACAACGTCAAACAAACAGAAAGGATTGAGACACTTCTAGAGTGAGAATTTGAGCATCGTTCGATCTGACCACCATGTTCTACTTATTTTTGAGTTATACCCTGTTTTGAGCCATACCCGCCTAACTGTTTCTTTGCTATGCTAATGTCAACCGGATGTTTGGGATGATGCTATGATCCCCAATGACATCCATACGTTTGGGATGCTCGGCTCAACCACCAACCAGGTAGCCATTTCTCTACAGTGTATGATCAGTTCCATCCTTTGTATTTTCAGATTCTGCATTATTTTGTAACTGTTAGCTTGCTGCCATCATCATCATCATCGTCATCATCATCATCATCATCACCATCGTCATCCTCCTCCTCCTCATCCTCATCCTCATCCTCATCCTTATCCTCGCCTTTTCCCCCAAAGTATCGGGAACCTGATACCCAGGGACCTCCTACTTTCCAAACCCATTGGAACCTTGGAAATCGACCAGTTGCAACCTGTGCTACCCGTAGGTCTAGGCGCCAATGCCATCGGTGTGGAGAAAGAGCAGATCGATGACTTCAGAGGGGGCCCCACCAGCGATGGCGTACCCATCAACGAGCTCAACAAGATGGTGCCTTGAAATTCTGTCCGGGTTTTGGTACCTGAAAATTGGGAGGGATTTGTTTACCCCTCAACTTGGTTGTAAGAGCACGAAAAGCCAACAAGTGGGGCGAATGCTGCAAGTAGGGGGGTATATTTGCAGTGATCCCATGGTTTTACGTTGGATATTTGTAGCTCACATCTTGGCACAATTGCAACACGTCTGTAAAAGACATGGCCCATCACTTCCAGGCAGTCATTGGGGTGGGAGGGTGCTGGGCCACGCAAGTCGCGTTTCAAGCAGATGGGGGTACCCCAAAATGGATGGTTTATAAGGGAAAATCCTGTTAAAATGGTCTCCCTATTTTAGGAAACCCCCATATTGCATCCTGCGTTTGCAATACAGCCTTGGATTTTCAAGATCTCATCACCAACAACCGCAGCGATCTGAGATATTTGCGGATGTACAACGTTCAAAATTTCCAGTCCCGGTCATCTCATGAGTTAGGTTGGTGGTAAAGCGAGATGTTCGCGCTTTCCATCCAACGTCAGGAGAGTCCCCAGACCCCTCCAAATATGTATATCCATAATTATATATATATACACATGTATATATCATAATATTCGAAAATATTGGAACATCCTGTGGTTGAATGTTTTCTTTCACAAAAAAACATGGAGAACTGTTGGTAGCATCCAGTTTTTGTTGATATGTTTTTTTGTTGCCGGGAGGGATCGGTTCTTTAGCATCGCCGAAGCCCGGCTGAAAGCTGCGGGTTGCAATCCTGAGGTCTTTGACTTGGTGCCAGGCATGAAGCAAACCAGGCGGGATGGGAGGATTGCATGGAGAAAATCGAACATTTTTCCCAACATGTTTGCGTTAAGTCTTCAGTGGTATTTCCCTGAAGGGATACATAGAGTATGTTTGTGTTGTTTTTTTCTTTCATTCGCTTGAAGGGATACATAGGGATGTGATGTATGATATACAGATAATCATATCATACAGTGTGTTTAAGTTTAGCCATGTTTCCACTTGCCTAGTATGTAAAGCCGTGGTAAGAGGATGCCAGGAAACTCAGAAGAGGGAGTGTGACCTGTAGAAAACACTCATGGCAATGATGTACTGTATATATATAATATAATATATATATATATGTAGCCGGATATAGCTCTATAATACATATTGATCCATATTCCACATAGATGTTCTACAAAAAGCTAGGCCAAGCCATGTTTCCACATCGAAGCACTTTCCGGAGACCCCCATCTCCCAGGCCCACCGAATTTCTGGCGTGGTTTCACTCGCAGATGCAGCAGTCAGGCACCTTCTGGAACCTCAAGGCCTTCAACGGGCTGAGAGTTCACCGATGATTCAGGGGATATGAATTGGGGATGTAATGGGATATGTATATATGTAATATATAATACAAATATATATATAGATAGATATATACATATATATATAGATAGATATACATATATATATATATATATGCATATATATATATACATATATATATATTTGCATATATATATACATACATATGAGTTACAATTAATCAAGTTGATATCATATGTGGGTTTGGTGCCCAAAATGGATTGTATACCCACAAGTATGGCGTTTTTTGTGAGCATGAGATTCTTAACTTTGCCCATGTGTTTAGCAGACATAGCTGTGACTGGGCACCATCCCATAGCTTCCTTCTCAGGGGGTTGGTTAAGATCCCCCATTTGCCCCATGGCAGTGGAACATCTCCCTTGATGTCTCCCATGTACCCTCTGGTAGATCTTAACATAGCAACGGAAAATCATCATGTTGATCAAAAGAAAACTCGTGTTAGCTATGGCCATTTCCATCGCTACTGAGGCTACTGTATGTTTAAAGTATCTGAGGGTCCCCATTTAGTTCCGGGATTTTCAACTGCAGCCTTTGATGACCTGGATGGTGTTAGGCTTCAGCAAGTATAGGGTGTCCAACAGCTAAGCACCTGCGCAGGTGAGATTGATAATTTCACATAATTCACACAGTCGATGCATTAATGTTGCTTAATGTTGTGTCGTTAAATGTGTAATATGCTTGTAAATATACTAACTTGTATAGTATTGTTTCATATTCCTACTGCGGATGGAAGAAATCCTGCACCAGTTGATGGGTGGCCTATCCAATTATTTCTAGGATTTCAACCATCCCAGGTGGTGTAGGATTTCTTCCATCCACCGTATGTTGAGTCCTTAACTATACTTTATATATAATGTATGACACCTCCCCCAAAAAAACTGTGACTTTCCATATACCTATAAGAGGGTTTCCATAAATGGGGTTACCCCAATAGTTTGATGGTTTATTTCATTCAAAAAAAATCTTACTAAAATGGACAATTGTTTGGGGTACCCCCATGACAGAGGAAACCTCCATATATGATTAGTCATCAATTGTAATTGATACTAATAATAATCATTAATCATTTGAATACTTTCCATATATCTATTATTATGTCACATATTGTCTAATAATCATAATCATCAATCATGTACAATACAATTATCATGTATATATGATACATGTACATATATATATAGTATACATATACATATATATATATATATTATATACATATATATATACATATATATATATACATATATTTTTACATATATATATATACATATGTATATATATATATATGTATATACGCGTATACCTATATAATTTATATATGCATCTCATCATCAATATATCACGACGGCCTTTCAGGCGATCTATTCCACCACCTCAGCGGCCATTGACTTCGATGCTGTGCTACAGGTGGCCGCCGATCTGGCGTTGGATGATGTGCTTTCCACGCTTTGAATGGGAAAAAAAACATGGGAAAATCGATGGGATGTGGAAAAAATAGATGGGACAAGCACCAAATGATAGGAATTTATGATGTTTATATAGGGAGAAATGATCGAGATAGTTGATTTCATATAGGATATGTTCAAAACCACTGCTGGTTGATGATTACATGGGGTTATAATTACCATAATTACTACCCAATATATTGGGGATTTATACGGATATACTTGCGATATACTGTAATGGGAAAGTGGCTGGCATATACCCTCTCGTAATCAAACGCGGCTGGCTGGAAAATCCCCGAACTAAATGTAGGATTATCGCTGGGAAAGTCATTAATCTATATGGGGGATTGTCCATTGCCACGTTTGATTGCCAGGGGGTAAATGTCAAGTGCAACCCCAACAAAAACATTCAGAAAAGTATTTCCAGGATGATCGTTTGGTGATGTTTTGAAACACAATAATTTCCAGGTGTCCAACTGTTCGGCATCTTTTCTGGGGGCGGATATCTATGAATAATTGTCTAGACCACAGCCTATATTTATATATATAATAATGATAACATACCCTAGTTGAGCGATTGGAAGAACGAATTTCTATCAACCACTAATCATCCATGATATTGCAAGCTCATTAAAATGTCATCAAAATTCCCTTAAAATCTAATCAACATGCCATTACAACTACAACCTCATTCAATCCCACTAAAATCTCCATTAAATCAAATTAAGTCCCCAGTACTGTAAATCCCATTAAATCGTATGGAATCACCATTTGAATCCCTATCAATCACCATCCAATCCCATTAAATCACCATGAAGCTCTTTTTCAATCTCATTAAATCGCCATTAAATCAGTATGAAATCCCATATACATCCCCCCTTTCCCTACGTAGTATTTCCCAAGTCACGTTCTGTTATTTGCCCCATCTTGGACCCCTCGCAACGTTCAACGCAGGATGCGGACGGTCACGCCTTTCTGGCGCCCTGCAGTTGCAATGCCCAGTTCGCCCAACTGGCCACGTTGCGGCAAAACGCAGACGCGGCTCTAGTGCGGGGGCCCGGTGGGCCCGGTGGGAATCACTGGGAGGGTGCAAGAAATGGGAGGATATGATGGCTAAATGGATATGATTCATAATCCATGGACATATATACATATATATATATATATATATTTATAGACACACACATATATATATATATATATATATATATGTGGACATATATATATAATATACATACTTTTTGTTTTTCTGGGATTATATATGGGATTATATATGGGATTATATACTGATTAACTCTGGTTAAGTAACTTAGGAAATGAAATTGCAGTGGTGGTACCTTGTGAAACATGGGAAACCTATGACTGGACAACATAATATTAGACATATCGTGTGTAGGAATGGTTAAGTTGAAGTAGGATTATATCGGATTAATGCAATGGAATTTGTTTGTGGGATAATAATTGGGATTGTAATCGGTGTGTCTGAGATTATAGTGGGTTAATATTGGTCTAGAATTGGTTAAGAATGCGAGGATAGGAAAGTCACTGGGGTATATAAGTATATACTGTATAACATGACTTATGAAACCCATGACAATGAAGCACTTGTGCAAAATTGGAAACCTATGCATTTTCAAGACTAAGATACATATTTAGTTGGATACAACCAACAATACTGGGAGTATAACCGGGACAAACAAAAACATGGATTCAATGGGATATATCGGGGATATCATGCGATATTTGGAGATATAGTGGGACAAGATGGGGAAATAATGGGATACCCTCTGGTAAACTAACATAGCTATTGAACATAGCCATTTATAGTTGATTTACCCATTAAAAAATGTGATTTTCCATAGTTATGTTAGTTTACCAGAGGGTAAACATGAGGATAAACATAGGATATATATGCGACAAGTTGGCTCTGTCTGTCGGAAATGACCATTTGCATAGGAACAAATATGATAAAATAGTGACAAGGTACCGTATTTTCAGACAAACCCATACCTTTGTGGTGGGAAATACTGGAAGCAGAGGAGGGATATGTTTTTTTTTTTAATGATATAAGTATTTTATTCAAAGAGAATCACATCTATGTGATGCGTATATGATATACTTATATTGAATTATATGTATGCATACCCTGCATATGCATGAATGTGACATAGATGTTTCATGAGATACATCACCCAGCTGGAATTTAAATCCGTTAAGTTCTGTTCCAATCCGTTTATAGACTGAATGAGTTTATCGTTGTGGTTGCACCAGTGTGTAACCCAGTCATAGCCACTGCTCATTTAACAGTGTGCTACGGAAAATAACCATCTTGAACAGGTAGATCATCGAAGTAAATGGGCCATCTACTAGGTATGTTAGATTCCCAGAGGCTAATGTCTGGACAAAAGCGGGACAATGTCTGGACCTTTTTAGACCAGGGCCAGGTGTTTTTGTTGGTCTAAAGTCGGAAGGCCAACATATGAGATTTGGATGTGTCTGATTTTTTTCCACCCCAGATTGATGGCTTGTTTATCGGCGATGATGATAAACCATCCAAATTCGGGGTACCCTATCATCAGACAAACCCATTTCCTAAAAGTGGAATGTCAAGAAACAGAAGCTCAAATGCTGGTTGAAAACCCAGAGTCCTAGTCAAACCGAAGAAACTTTGCAGCTGTTGATGTAGCAGGGGCCTTTTCTTTACCATCACCAATGAATTCCCAGTCTGGCAATCTCTGGCACACTTGGAGGTTTCCAAAAAATGGTGGATACCTCCAGGGATCATCCAGCTATTGGGGTAGCTCCATGACTTTCAGTCGTCACCTCCATTTCAGCTCCAGAGGACTGGAAGTACCGCCATGTCTTCTCTCGCATGGCCCGATGGATGCTGTTGCACGACAGCAGGGACAGCAGGGACAGCAGGGTCAGGTCATGGCTCGCACGATGAACTCACATGTGTGTTTGTACACAGTGATGCCCCCCTGTGAAATCGTGGTTTGTTTATAAGCCAGATGAAATCTAGATAGGACGAATTACCTGACTACCATAATGTACCATAAAGCATATAGAATTCACCTGGTTAAACATCAACTTAGCATATCTAGGGCCCACCTAGTATGGCAAGGAGAGTCATGTAGAATTCATTACATTTCAATGAGGGGTCGAATTACCATGCCATATGCCACATACAAAAGGAATTCTCAAACAGCTCAAACAGCATCCAAGAACTGTGTACACATAAGTACACTATGTATGTATATATATATATAATTATATATATATATATACATGTACATGTATACAGATATGTATTACATGTACATGTACGGCTGCTTGTCGAGTTTGCAAGGCATTGTGCTATTGAGTGTATATGTGTGCTGTTTGTCGATTGCAAGGCGCTATTCTACTGATGTTCTCTCCATCAAAGCTTGAGATGTCCAAGACTTTTACTTTCTCTACCAACATTTTTCAATTTGATTTATACATATATATATATATATATAAGAATGTTTTTTCATCCTCACATTCCCAGACTTGGTTCAACTTGGTTTAATGGAACATGTACAGGAAAATCCCGTTGATGTGAAAAGCCTTGGTTTCAACCGTAGATTTTCCCATCAAAACCAATCCACCAACATTCCTCCAGCTTTGCAACCCACCCGCAAGTTCCAGGGTTCCAGAGTGCCGTTCCGGTTTTTTGGGGTTCGGCAAACAACCTTCAGCATCATCCCCTACCTGCCGAGGTCGGGGCTTCTACTCCACAGCCCCATTCAGGGTCCAGGGGACCTGAAATGGTTGCGAGAATTGTGCATGATCTTGGCTGGCAACCTGGCTGAAATTAGGTTGTGAGTTGGGGTTTCTGGCCTTACAGTACCTCCTCAAGAAGTATTTGGATCCACAGGCTACAGGCAAGGGCTTTGATGATAATAATTGATTCTTATCACCATTACTATTCTGAATATGTTTGGACTGTTTGTTATTTTTTGCTTACATTGGGGGTGTGGGAAATGGTTTGATCATTCCTAAATTCTCCTGATTCTGGTTGAATGATATAAATCCGATGTTTGTTGGTTAGTTATATGCCATTAAGGTCCAGTAGTTATAGCATATATCTCCTATCCATTATGGTTGCTTTATACCCCAGATCGCCATTCACAAACCGACCTCCCATGGTCTACCCAGCACCACTTGTAGGTTAGTTTATAAAACTATCAGATGTATCATGATATATTTGCCTACCATGAATACCATGAACCATGGTAGAACTTACCTATCTGTTGTGGTTATACCCATTTCTATCAGTCGAACCCCAAGTTTTATATTTCTTTTGCAAACCCTCACATTTTACTAAGCTTATTGATCAGTTCGATATATTTGCCACAAGTCCTAGTTGACTAAGTTAATTCAACCAACTTGCTTAGTTAAATGATTGTTTACTGGGAACAAAAAAACAGTTTCATTGTTAAACAAACAACACCGGTAAAAAATCAGTTTTTACCCCAAATGTCATCTAATTTTTCCATCTCCATCTCTAGTACCTTTGGAGAATCAACAATTTCCAAAGAGATGGAGATGGAAATTAGAGATGACATTTTACTATATTTTACTCAGATGTCTTCAAAAATGGGTTACGGATGGTTACGGTACCAGTTGAACCCATCCATTTTTTGAATCCTCCGATCCTCCACCGCCCAAGGCATGCCCGAGGACCTCAGCCTCTCCCTGCCGCCGCCGCCGGACGCGGCGCCGCTGCACCTGCGCTTCGCCTGGTCCTTCGTGCGGCGCTGTGTGCGCTGCCTCCGTGGCATGGCCGCCGGAGGAGGGTAAGAACTGGTTGAAGTAAGGAAAAATTGCAGAAACCATAGAAACATATAGAAACCATAGGAAAGCAACAATTGATCAGCAATTTTTGAGTGTTTCTTAAATGGGATTCAATGGGTTGAAGATGGTTGAAGGGTCGAGAAATATGGTTGAAGATGGTTGAAGGGTAAAGGAATTGCAGGAAGCCATGGTGTGTTTTTCCATGATATGTAGAGGTTTTCTGTAACATGTCCCGCAATCCAATGAAAAATGCATCAGAAAAATTGGCATGTTGCCCCGCCCTAATGACCTAAATAGTAATGGTATATTTTATAGGATATCGAATCAGACTTGATATGATATAGATGTTGAACAGTGTTCAACCCCCCCTGCTAGTTGATAATTAGATACTAACCATGATATTGGGAAACATTATGGACTATCGCAAGCCATTGGGGGACTACAACAAATGATATTATATTTATAGGAGTAAAGACATGGACAGATGGAGGATGGTAGTATCACTAATAATAGGCGGGATATATATATATACAGTATATATATACATATACATATCACCAACCGTTGACAGTAATATGGATATAATGGAGATATGATGGTATATACACAATATAGTATACATACATAAAACATCATAAAGCTATAACCAACAATTTGCTATTTGGCTTTGGTGCCTTTTTCATTGGGAATGTGATGATCAAGCAACAAACTTGGCGGCGACCTATGGATAATGGTAATAGAATGGGTTTTGATATGGTTTCATTGTTTGTGGTGTACCCTCCAGTAAACTAACATAGCTATTGAACATGACCATTTATAGTGGATTTTCCCATTAATCATGGTGATTTTCCATAGCTATGTTAAATTACCAGAGGGTATCATGTTTTTGAGTAACATTTAACTAACATATAGGACACAATCTGGAATGGAACCAACAAAAAAGAGGGATTCACCCAACCTCAAAATAGAGCGATTCACTGATTCTGGGTAAGTCGGGGTACAACCAGCTGACATTGGAAGGCAACTAAGAATTGCTGGTGCATTATGGTATAGTATGGTGTAGTATGAAAGCAAGAGATCAATACAAATCAATACAAATCACATTCTAGGCAATATACATGTGTCGTTCACGATTGTGTAAACAGCACGTTTGCCACAAAGTGGGGATAGCCTCTCGTCCCCCCTATGTTCTGGCTCCAGGCATGGAAGACTTCTGTATTAAGACTTTCTCCAACATCATTGTGGTGAAATAAACCCAAAAAAGTTGGGGGAAATTGGGGGAAATAATTGGGTTACTTGACCAAGTGATGTCATTTTATTTCGATGGTTTTTCACCCTTGTATTTGGAGTGTTGAGAGCAATCCGTGCATTAGGACAAAGATGGGGCCTCACAACTTCCCGTTTCCAGAACAACTTCCGATGTAAAAAGGGGCGATTTTGGAGACCCTTCCGACAACCCCAGGCTGGCACAACCCTATGATGGTCAACGGCAAGTTGCTTGGTATCATCCCCCATGAGACCCGAAGTGCTAAAAATGCCAATTGCTCAGAGGTAAATAATGGGAAAGCATCTATAATCATCTAGTCTGTACATGATATATATATATAATATATACCTTTATATATATAATCTTATATATATATACTTATATATATATATATACACTTATATATATATATGTATATGAGCCATTTTCATCATTTTCCGTAGCCTCTTAGATTACCAGAGGGTAGGTGGGATAAATGTCGCTGCTTGGAAATATGTTGACAATCACCTTTCCTGTGTGATCTGGGGCAGGGGCCTCATGAATCTCATGTAACTTGACGGACAGATGAAGGTTGGTGCACCTACCACAACCTGGTCTACAAATGGTGTGGGCTCTACTCGATGCTGCCATTGAACTTGTGCCCGACGAGCATACCAAGAGCTACCCCGAACGCACCTTGGTAGTTGCAGTTGCAGAATCTTTATGTAAGTTTGACCAAACATGGGAGGCGGATACCGAACAATCATAAAACACAATATATGTTCAATAGGGGAACTATGATCAACCGTGAAATGGCACCCCATTTCCAGACAAAACCATGTTGGGGGATTGGTCAAGTCAAGACTTATGAGAATATGTTGATACAATTGCATAATATTGCAATATATTGCATATATATGGGGAATCAATATCCATTTGCCAGCTACTTTGATGTTTAGCAGCAGGGGCCCCAAACGGGTTCTGATCTCCCTAGAGGGTGGAGAACACAGTCATGGCACCCCAAACACTGATCCTGGTGAAACGGCGAAACTCAGCCGGTTTCAGCCCCGTTGGTTTTCAGCTTGCAATGCGGAGATGTCATTGTTGCTTGAATTGGAGGATAAACATATGGATGTGTCTTAAATTGGGGGTACTCCAAATAATAGTCCAAGTGATTAGAACCTTTTATTGTTGAAACCTGTGGTCTCTTGGGGATCCTCCATTTAAAAAAAAAAACATATATTGCAACCAGTGACGTTTTCACCGGATGTGCATTTGCCAGGGTCAGACTGTCGGTGGTTCCTAGATTTGGTTTGACAGCGAAATTTGACAGGAAAACCCAATAGTCTACAGTTGTCAAACCATGGTTTCCTGGGGATTTATCTTAAACCCATTGGTGAATCATCATTATCCCTATTTAAATGGTCATTTTGGGGATATACGCAAGGTTATTACAAACCCCAAACTTGAGATAGTTTTTTCTGGTTTATTTTGGAAGTAAGCCCAATAGTAGGCCATCCCAATATCACCAGAAATGGGTTGTGAATAGCTTCCCGAAATGGTAGGTTTATGGCACTGGGTCTACCACCTTGTTCATTAAATATCTCATTGATTCCCAATTATCCACAATTTGCTCTTCATGATTCCAGAAATTTATATGAAATTATTAAACCCCCAACTTATATAATCATAATTCCCAACAGCAGGGCCTGTTGGGTTTCAATCTCTAGGGCTGGGGCTGGCTCGCGGGGACTTGCAGCCTTCAAAATCCGGAATGAACCCTGGAACCCTGGAACCCTGGAACCCTGGAACCCTGGAACCCTGGAACCCTGAAACCTTGGAACCCCCCTGGAACCCTGGAACCCTGGAACCCTGAAACCTTGGAACCCCGGAACTGAAACCCTGGAACCTTGAAACCCTGCTGGACCGTGGAACCCTGAAACCTTGGAACCTTGGCACCCTGGAACCCTCAAGGATTCTGGAACCCTGCAACCTTGGAACCCTGGAACCTTGGAACCCTGCAACCCTGCACACCTGGCACCCTGCTGGGATCCTGGAACCCTGAAACCCTGGAACCATTGGAACCCTTGGAACCCTGGAAACCTTGGAACCCTGAAACCGTGGGACCCTGGTACCCTGGTACCCTGGAACCCTGGAACCCTGAAACCTTGGAACCCCGGAACCCTGGAACCCTGGAACCCTGGAACCCCGGAACCCTGGAACCCTGAAACCCTGGAACCTTGGAACCCTGCGACCGTGGAAGGCACCCAGGAACCCTCAAGGATTCTGGAACCCTCTGGGATCCTGGAACCCTGAAACCCTGGAACCCTTGGAACCCTTGGAACCCTGGAAACCTTGGAACCCTGAAACCGTGGGACCCTGGTACCCTGGAACCTTGGAACCCTTGAAACCCTAAAACTTCCAAACCCTAAACTCTATGCGCGCTGCGCGCGCTGCATGCAATAAAGTAAACCCTAAAACTTCCAAACCCTAAACCCTAATGCGCGGTGCGCGCGCTGTGTCCCAGAGAAGTAAACCCTAAAATTTCCAAACCCTAAACCATCGTGTTATGCAACTTCCAAACCCTAAAGTTTAACCCGCGGTGTGCGCGCTGCATGCAATAAAATAAACCCTAAAACTTCCAAACCCTAAACCCTAATGCGTGCTGTGCGCGCTGCGTGCCAGAGATAAACCCTAAAACCTTCAAACCCTAAACACTAATGCGCGCTGCGCGCGCTTTGTGCAATAGAAATAAACCCTAAAATCTTCAAACCTGAAACTCTCGTGTCATAGAGGTAAACCCTAAAATTTCCAAACCCTAAACCCTAAACCCTAACGCGCGCTGCGCGCGCTGTGTGCCATAGAAGTACCCCTTAAAATCTCCAAACCCTAAACCATCGTGTCATGGAGGTTAACCCTAAAACTTCGAAACCCTAAAGTTCAACCCACGCTGTGCACGCTGCATGCAATAAAATAAACTATAAAACTTCCAAACCCTAAACCCTAATGCGCGCTGCGCGCACTGCGTGCCACACACATAAACCCAAAAACTTTCAAACTTTAAACCGTAACGCGTACTGCGCGCACAGCCTGCCATAGAGGTAAACGGTTAAACTTTCAAACGCTGCGTGCCATAGAGGCAAAGCCTAAAACTTTCAAACGCTAAACCGTAAAGCAGGCTGCGCGGTGCGCGCGCTGTGTCCCAGAGAAGTAAACCCTAAAATTTCCAAACCCTAAACCATCGTGTTATGCAACTTCCAAACCCTAAAGTTTAACCCGCGGTGTGCGCGCTGCATGCAATCAAATAAACCCTAAAACTTCCAAACCCTAAGCCCTAATGCGTGCTGTGCGCGCTGCGTGCCAGAGATAAACCCTAAAACCTTCAAACCCTAAACACTAATGCGCGCTGCGCGCGCTTTGTGCAATAGAAATAAACCCTAAAATCTTCAAACCTGAAACTCTCGTGTCATAGAGGTAAACCCTAAAATTTCCAAACCCTAAACCCTAAACCCTAACGCGCGCTGCGCGCGCTGTGTGCCATAGAAGTACCCCTTAAAATCTCCAAACCCTAAACCATCGTGTCATGGAGGTTAACCCTAAAACTTCGAAACCCTAAAGTTCAACCCACGCTGTGCACGCTGCATGCAATAAAATAAACTATAAAACTTCCAAACCCTAAACCCTAATGCGCGCTGCGCGCACTGCGTGCCACACACATAAACCCAAAAACTTTCAAACTTTAAACCGTAACGCGTACTGCGCGCACAGCCTGCCATAGAGGTAAACGGTTAAACTTTCAAACGCTGTGTGCCATAGAGGCAAAGCCTAAAACTTTCAAACGCTAAACCGTAAAGCAGGCTGCGCGCGCTGCGTGCCGTAGAGTGCTCCTCAAAAGTGATTACATGTCATACTTTAGTGGCATCCTCCAAATTCATTAGTCAGCCTTTGTTAATCCAGGGCCCATTTTACACATGTCATCTTCTTGGTCGTGGCGCCATTTCAGGATCACACTGATGACCTAAGCTTTGGCCTTAACTATTATGCAGGCAAGCGACATCAGCACTCTATGGTATTGGAAGACACAGGGTTTGCCCGTAGACCAACCAAAAAATCGATTTTCCACACTGAACAATTGGATTTAACACATTTAGAATAGGAGCTCCGCCTGATTCAGATTTCATCACTTAAAAGGTACCCATGCCTGACTAGCCTTCATGACTTAAAGCGTAACCACACCCGACTTAAGGGAACCATGCCTGACTAGCCTTCATAATTAAGAGGACTTAACAGAACCCATGCCTGACTAGCCTTCATAATTAAAAGGTACCCATGCCCCTGAATTCAGGGAACCATGCCTGACTAGCCTTCACAATTAAAAGGTACCCACTGGAACCATGCCTGACTAGCCTTAATGACTTAAAAGGTAACTACACCTGACTTAATACCTGATTTACTGGTTTTGCCTGATTTTGGAAAAACGCAGGGCCGGAATTTGCAGGGCGCGGGCCGGAATTTGCCGGGCCCGGGCCGGAATTTGCCGGGCTGGGATTTTGGGGTCGTGCCTAAATAGGATTTTTGCAAAAATCGTGCATGACTGAAGGGAACCATGCCTGACTAAACATCATACCAATCATCCCAAAAGAATCCAATAATTCCAGCAAGTGATGCCTGACCAATCCCTGCGTCATAATAAACCGTCTGCCCCTCCCCACCCAATAATGAACACACGGAATAGTTTTTTGTATTTAGTGGGTATTTAGTATGAGGGTGCGAAACTTCCCCCTTGGTTTAAAAAAACTAAATTGGAAAACATTTTTTAAATAACATCTAACTAAAATATTGCCAAAATTGGATTCCGAAGCTTCCCCCTGACATTAAATTGAAAACATTCGTTTTAAAAAATGAACTTTATATTTCAAAACCGATTGAATTCCTATTCAAAATCTAACTCAAATCTTGCCAAATTGGATTTCGAAGCTTCCCCTTATATTAAATTGAAAACCTTACTAATCCCCACCTCCTTTTACTAAACGTACCCTAAATACTAAAATATTACATTGATTCCTTTTACTAGGGTCCGCGTTAAATTTTGGGAAATTTCAGGCTGGCCAGTTTGACTTTTAATTGATACCTTTTCAAAAACAAATTAAACATGAAGGTCCCATTTCAGGATTTCACCACCAAAAAATAAAAACTAGTCAGCCCTGGTGATTTTTTAAACTAGGGTCTTTTAAGGTCGAAAAAATAAGTATTTTATATTACAACGTTTATATAATATTGGGGGAAAACTTCGAAATCCACTTTTTGGCATTTCCTGGCAATATTTTTGCTGGATGTCAAAAGGAAATCTAATCGATTCTTGAAATCGAAAAAACATAGTTTTTTTTTATTAGTGTTTTTAATTTAATCTTAGGGGAAAACTTCGAAATCCAATTTTTAGCAATATCTTCGAAGGAAGTTTAGAAGTGAAGCTTCCGACAATATGGACAGTTGAAAAGCAGAGGTGAAAAGAGTCAGAAGAGAAAAGATCAGAAGAAAGAAGATGCAGATGCGCGAAAAGGTAGGAAAGTCGCGATTCACTGTGTTTTTCCAATGATTTGTGGCTCCGGAGGGTCGAAAAGTAGGCTCGCTAAAGCGGCGGGTGCGGAGCCAGCTGGCCAGAGGAGAGATGAAAAATTGCACGCCGTTGTGGCGCGAAGCACATTTCGAAGTCAAAAGTGTACAAAACACCATTCTCGGACCACTTTTGGAAGTTGAGATGTCGAAAAAGTGCACGCCGTTGTGGCGCGAAGCACATTTCCAAGTCAAAATGTACAAAACACACCAGCTTCGGACCACTTTTGGAAGTTGAGATGTCGAAAAAGTGCACGCCGTTGTGGCGCGAAGCACATTTCCAAGTCAAAATGTACAAAACACACCATTCTCGGACCACTTTTGGAAGTTGAGATGTGAAAAAGTGCACGCCGTTGTGGCGCGAAGCACATTTCCAAGTCAAAAGTGTTAAAAACTGACGGTCTCGGGCCACTTTTGGAGGTTCAGATGTCGAAAAAGTGTCGAAAAAGTGCACGCCGTGGTGGCGCGAAGCACATTTCGAAGTTCAAAGTGTAAAAAACTGAGGGTTTTGAGCCTTTTTTGACGTGAAGATGTCGAAAAAGTAGACACTGATTAACTTAACTAACTTGACTAACTTAACTAACTTCACTAACTTAACTACCCTAACTTCGACGACAACAGAAACAGCAACAGCAACAGCAGCAACAACAACAACAACAACACCAACCACAACAACTACAACTACAACAACTACGACTACAACAACTACACAACAACTACACAACAACTACACAACAACTAGAACTACAACTAGAACTACAACTAGAACTACAACAACAACAACAACAACAACAAGAACAAGAACAACAACAACAACAACAACAAAAACAAAAACAGCAACAACAACAACAACAGCAACAACAACAACAACAAAACAACTACAGCTACAACTATATGACTGCAACTACACTACACTAATTACATTACACCACAACTACAACTCCACTACGCTACAACTACAACTACAGTTGCAGTACATCACACTACATCCAGCAGTTGTGGGTGAGGTGACCACTGCAACCATTGCAACCATTCCAGAAAACACAACTCCAACCACCTTTCGGTCAATCAGTGGATTCGCTCTGCCATCCGTGATTCACAACAACCAACGTCTCCTATAGGTTTCCTATTTTTGAAACTTCCGCCACCGCCTTGTGCGGTACTACTGGTAATTATATGTTAGACAGAAAACTAATCGATTTTGAAACAGTTTTTTTTAAAATATATTAGGGCTGGTAATTTAATATTAGAGGAAACATTTCGAAATCCGGTTTTTGTTTTTATTTTTGTTACTACAATTTAAAAGGAAATCGAATCGATTTCAAAAAAGAAAAAATAATATTTTATATTAGGTTTTTTTAATGTAATATGAGGGGAAAACTTCAAAATCCAATTTTTGACCATATTCTAATTAGATTTCAAAAGGAAATCTAATGAATTTTGATATAGAAAAAATAGTCTTTGATATGAGGGTTTAATATGAGGGGAAAGCTTCGAAATCCAATTTCTGGCAATATCTTAATTTGAATTTACAAGGAAATCTAATCGATCCTGAAATAGAACAAATTTAGTTTTTTATATTGGAATTTTTCATGCAAGATTAGGGGAAGCATCGAAATCCAATTTTTGAACATGTTTTAATAATTTGATTTTAATTTGATATTAGGGGAAAGCTTCAAAATCAATTTTTTGTTTTTTTATTAGATTTCAAAAGGAAATCCAATCGATTTTGAAACAGGAAAAAAAACAAAATGATATTAGGGTTTAATATAAGGGAAAAGCTTCGACATCCAATTTTTTGGCCATATTTTATTTAATTTTTAAAAGGAAATCTAATCGATTTCGAAATAGAAAAACATACATAGTTTTTTTATGTTGGGGGTTTTTATTTGATATTAAGCTTCGGAATCCACTTGTTTGCCATATTTTAATTGGATTTAAAAAGAAAGAAATCTGATCGATTTTGAAATAGAAATATGTGTATATATATATATATGTGTGTGTGTGTGTGTGTGTTTTTTATCTGTATTAGGGGGAAGCTTCGTACCCTAATACTAAAGACCCCCCCAATACTAAAAACTCCTCCAGGTGTTTGTTATTTGGGTGGGTGGGTGAAGGGGCGACTGTTTAGCAACAGGGGGAAGGGATTAAACCGTTTTTTGTTTCTAATTTCAAAATCCATGAAAATAATCTTTAAATAGAATACTGCCAAGAATAGGATTTCGAAGCTTTCGCCTAGTATCAAATAAAACACCAACACCTGAATTAAAAAAACTAAAATTGACGATTTTAAAGGACGGACCCCAATAAAAGACACCCCGGTGTTGACTAGTTTTTTATTCTTTGGGGGTGAAACCCTCACATGGTACCTTCATTTTTTAAATTGTTTCCTCAAGGGGATCAATTAAAAATCAAATTAACCAATTTGACATTTCCCAAAATTGGAAATCGCACCTAGTTTTTGTCATTTGGGGGTATTTTTCGTAATAGGGAGAAAGGATTAGCAAAAAGAATGCCTGATCAAAATGATGCTGATTCTGTGTGTTACAATCTTTTTGCCCACTACAGTGTCTACAGGGTTACAAGGGATGCCGTGCCAGCTAGAGTCCCAAGTCCATTCAACCAACACCCTAATCGATGAAGTTGGACTTGTTGAAATGGAAGTGGGACTGGACCAGTTGACATGGGGCGATGCTGACCTTCAACGGGAGCTTCGGCGCCTGAAGGACAACAGTTTGAAAATTCCGAACCTGAAATATATTTTCAAAATTGCCTTACTAAGAGTGATCCCCACCCTGACACACTATTCTGACATAGTTTCTGACATATCATCTGGACGTATATGTGGCATATATGTTCTGACATACTATCTTACATTCTTTTCTGAGATTCTATTTGACATTCTTTCTGGCATCCTATCTGGCATCTATTCTGACATACTTTCTGGAATATACTATATTCTGATCCTGCCTTGCCATGAGTTTGGGCTGGGAGTTCTTTTATTTGCGTGGATCAATGCCAATGGCTTGAATATCCACCAAATGTTGGTTTCACATGTTTGCACCCAATGATTGCCATTACCATTGATACCCCAAAATGGCCAGGTCCTGAATTTGAGAGTAGGTCCTGAAAAGTTTTCTGGGTACTGAAAAAACAGGACTTTGGCACAGGGTCTGAAAAAAGACGTAGGTGGAAGATTCAGGTATGCTGTTGGGTTGCAAAGCTGGGTTAATATATATATATGATTGGATTGGTTTAAGGGAAAATCTACAGGAACCAATCAAATTCAAATATAGAGGTTTCCTGTAACATTTTCCTTAAACCAATCCAATGAATATGTTGTTCATAATTAACTCCGGCCTTATATTTTCCAGAAATTTATAGTAAACTCCATATTTTGGGTATGTGTTTGATTTTGTTGTTTTTGGCAAAGCACAAAGTTTCAAGGTAAGCGCCTGGCTCTATGGGCATCCCTGTGCTTTGCCATTCGCCTGGCGGTGGCGTGCAAAAAGATGGATGAGACAGGCGTGGAGGGAGCAGCCTGTTGATGATTTGCTTGGGGGATTTCAACGTCATTAAAGTATAGGGATTAGAACTTATAGCCATCAAGCATTGATCAATGGTGGTTATATTTATATTAGAATATGTTCAACATGTTTAGTGGTCATCAATGGTCCAAGTCCCTCTCTAGTTATTTAAGGGTGCGCTATGAGAATTACCATGAATAGGTAAATCAATGTAGATCATCATAGATTATCAATGGGCCATTTTCCATAGCTATGTTAAATGACCAGAGAGTATCTGGGTAGATTTATACAGCTATCAAACATTGATAAACGGTGGTTATACAACTATTAAGATTGACTATCAGCAGTTTTTTTTCTAATTGATGATTGGCTGCAGGATACAAATAGATTTAAATGATTAATACCATCCTGGATAAATCAATCTGGTACGGCGGGAGCAAATAGCATGATGTATCAGTGTTGTCGCTGTCATTTCTTTGGTTCATACTTGGTGGTTCGCCCCGCTCGCAAGTGAGTTGTAACTTCAGCTAGAACTATAGGATAAGCAAGGCTAGTCCATCCTTTTGACTGGGCTGGTTCACTAAGCCACGGATGCCGTTCCGGGGGTGAACCACCAAGTATATTCAAGATATTCAACTATATCGTAGCCCCCCCAAAAGAAAGACAAGTAAGAAACCTGTAGGTTAAGGGGAACATGTTGGAAAGTATAGGAACATATCATCTATAATCATCTATAGCATCCTGGAACCACTTTTATCATTTTGGGGCTTGCTATCATCTTGTATGCATTGCTAGTCATTCACCAAGCTGCATCTGTCCTGCCTTGTAAGGTTGGTTGGCGGATCGCTCGAAGCTTTGGGGTCGATTTGATGAACCTTGGCCGCCTCGTCCCGGAGCATTTAAGGGGGTCGGTTTGTCTGGCGACATGGGGATTGATGTCAACAATTTAGGATGAGAACAAACATCGAGATTTACGGCCGTGTCCAGACATCTGGATTTACAGAGTTTTAGATATAGTATGGAATACTTAACTTATAATTTGATTGTTTTGTGCAAAATTTCTGATCAAGTGAATCAAACATGATATTTCTGGGTAGCCTATGACAAACTTAAGGGATTCTTGGTCAACTTTGGTCAACTCGGATCCCGTAACTTGCCGATCTGTCAAGGTAACACCCAAAAAGCCGAAAATCGCTTTTTGGGGGTGGATGACACACAGATGACACAGCCCATTGGGATCTACCCTCTGGTAAACGTACAAAAAACGATGGAACATCACCATTTTTAATGGGAAAACTCACTATAAATGGCCATTTTCAATAGCTATGTTAAATTACCAGAGGGTACCCAATCTCTCTTCGGAGTCTGATGCCTGAGGATGGGATTGATTTGGAGGGCTTGGCAGCACAGGTCTATGTCACCCGCTTTGGAGTGCAGGCCCGTAGTGGAAAGATGTGGAAAGCCATGGCGGCCAGGGGGTGTGGTGTAGAAATTTGGCATCGTCGAATCAGTAGGAGAATCATTCATGATTCATTATGGTGCTTGGCGACACCACTCGGGATGGATATTTGTCACTCGTATTACCCTCTGGAAATTCAACATAGCTATGGAAAATGATTGTTGTTAAATGTTGTGAATAGGTACATCGTCGAACTAAATGGGCCATCTATACCATAGCCAACAGCTAGATTACCAGAGGGTAAAGCATACTACATCACATGATCACTTTGCGGGCTGGATGGAACAACAGAATGGAGGGTCAAAAATCTTAGGCATTGCTGGCACCAATCCATTCAGAACCCAGCTGGGCTTCAATCGATTGGAATCATAGGCCTGCACAAAGATACCAATATCAAGGATATCCCAGTAGATTCCTGATATTGTTGGACAATTTATGTCAGGGATGGTTTGAAAGCATCAGATTTTCCATGATATTCCACTATATGCCCATCCCCAGATATGCCGAGATCTAGATATTCCTAGATATTCCAAGGTATCCCAAGGTATCCCTAACGTTTGTTGTTTTTTTTCACAACGAATGAAGCCATAAATCCATGATCACCGCCAGGAGTCCTGGTCCAGGGACCCGGTGTCGAAGGAAACCCGCTCGGTGTTTTTGGACGATTTGCCCTGGGAAGTGATTCCTCTGGTGGACACCGAGGAAGAGACTTGGAGAAAGGTGACTCCAGGGTTGTGCCCCCGTTCGTCTTTGCGTTCAGTTGGTGCCAATCACCCCAATTTCACTATGGTTTTTGTTGGTGATACCCTCTGGTAAACTAACATAACTATGGAAAATCGCAATTTTTTAATGGGAATATAAACTATAAATGGCAATCTTTAATAGCTATGGCTATGTTAGTTTACCAGAGGGTATATCTATATAGTTAATGCATGCTATGAGTTTATAACCAATGTATAACTGGAACAACCACCTTGTGGGAGCAATGACACGTGGGATTTTTCAGATGTGAGTAAAAACTGGAGGCTAGTTTAGTGCAAGTCCATCGCTTATCAGACATCGGAATAATAGTATATGTATATAATATACACATTACGTGGCTATTTTTTTCTCAGGCTAAGATTGAGCATGTTTGGCTGCAGCAATGGCTGTGGAGCCAAAAAAGAATCTATGCCGAAGCCAAACCTGAAGTAGATGTATGCAATTTGAAAAAAACAAAAATAAACGTGAAACACTCCTTTGAGTAGTAATTGCAGCATTCGCTTTACCGCATTAACGTTTTGGATGATGCAAGTCCGGAAAAGAAAAACATGGACACTTAATGGTGCTGGATGGTACATGTTGGGAAAATGAGATGGTAACACAGAGGAGCTATGAGTGAAGGCGATACTGAAAAGGTTGATTTTAGGTGGCCATGCATACCGCATACCGCACATTTTTGGAGAGTCCTTGGACATGGCCAGGAATGGTGACCGGTGGGATGGTGGCTGGTGATTCTTTTTCTGCTGAGCCTATTCCAATGTTTCAATTGGCAGCTGAATGCCCCCAGATTCTCCGAAAAAGCTCCAAAAGCCGCATCAAGTCTCATAATTTCATTCCTTTGGATTCAAGTAGCTTCTGAGGAAGTGGCAATGGGCTATGATTTGGGAGGTTCAGTCTGTTAAATCCCTTCTCAGTATCTATATGATATATCATATATCATGATTTATCTAGATCCAAAGGGCATATAGGGCATATAGGGCATATATATATAATGCACATAATATATCTAGATATCGAGACACATATATATATAATATATAATATATAATATATATAATATATATACAATATATTATATATATAATATATATAATATATATAATATATATATTATATAATATATATAATATATATAATATATATAATATATATAATATATATAATATATATAATATATATAATATATATAATATATATATATATAATATATATATATACACATGGCTCAGCCCTGCAACCCCCCTCCCCCCTCATGGTCATGGTCTTGTATGTACGTTGTATGTAGGAGGCTTTCTGTCGGATATAGCTGACATGTCGCTAGCAAATAGTTTATCGATGTCGGGTCTACTTTACCCCCGCCCCTCCCTGTGGGGGTGGGTGGGGGCTAGGTAGTGTGTCACTGGCATCTAAGGCAGTAAGTAGGTCATATGTGGGTAGCATGTAAATGATCATATGTGGCTAGCTGTATTTTTTTCATCCAGGGTCTACTTTACCCCCGCCCCCCCTGTTGGGTGGGTGGGGGTTAGGTAGTGTGTCACTGGCATGTAAGGCAGTAAGTAGACAGATAGGTAGATAGACAGATAGATATAGATGGGTAGATAGGTAGATAAATGGATGGATGGATGGATAGATAGATAGATAGATAAATAGTTAGATAGATAGATAAGATTAGATGGATAAGATTAGATGGATAGATAGATAAGATTAGATAAATTAGATAGATGAGATAGATTAGATTGACTAGATTGATTAGATAGATTAGATAGATTAGATAGACTAGATAGATTAGATAGACTAGATAGATTAGATAGATTAGATAGATTAGATAGATCAGATCGATAGCTTAGATCGATAGGATAGATAGATCGATAGATATACAAGATAGATAAGACATATTTGATATATTTGATATATTTGATATATTGATAGATTGGTAGATAGATAGATAGATAGATAGATAGATAAGATAAGATTAGATCAGATTAGCTTAGCTTAGATTAGATAGATTAGATTAGATTAGATTAAATTAGATTAGATTAGATTACATTAGATTAGGTTAGATTAGATTAGATTAGATTATAGATAGATAGATAGATAGATAAATAAATACATAGATTATACATATATATATATAGATCTATATAAATATGTTTCTCAATATCTAGATATCGTATGTATATATATATGCTCTATATTCCCTATTGATCTAGATAAATCATGATTTATCTATAGATACATGTGTAAGAAACTTAACAGACTTAACCTCCCAAATCACAGCCAAGTATTTAATTCCCTCACATTTTTCTCAATGGGAATTTCAGGATCCAAAAATGGAGGTACCTACCACATATAAGGCCTATTTTTGAGGCTTATGTAAGGGGATACCCCCCCAAAATATGGCCAAACATATGGTACTAACGTACCTCCATTTTAGGATCCTGGAATCACCATTTTTAAGTTCGGTAAACCATCTATTTCTATGGGTCATCTATACTACTATACCATGGCTATGTTAGTCATAACCAGAGGGTAATTTCCATATCATCCCATGATTCATCATTGTTAACCCATTGTTATTCACCATTAAAACCCACTATTAAATCCCCATTTATAGTGGTTAAATCACCATGTTCCTATGGTTATCCTGTGGTTTACCACCAGCTCCCAGGACGTGAAGACGGAGTATCCCGAGGACCTCGAGGACCCCGAGGCCTCCGTGGCGCCCTGGGCGGAGACGGTCAGCGCGGCGGAGCAGGCGGCGGTGCTGAAAGCAAACGCGCAAGAGCTCGATGCGGCGCAGAAACTTGGTGAATTGGGCATGGTTGTGTGGTATTGATTTATATATACCCTCTGGTTATTTAACATAGCCATGGGAAATGGCCCATTTATAGATGGCTTACCTTTTAAAAATGGTGATTTTCCATGGCTATGTTAAATAACCAGATGGTATATATATATATAGATATGTATGTAAACGTCGTGCATGTGTATATATGTATGTAAAATAGCAATGTTTAAGTAAGAATAATCACATGATCATAATTATTGTAATGATACATATATAATATATGCTTAGACCCTTCAAGTACCCTTTTTCATGTCTAAAAAATATTGCATGTTTTTTTTTGTTTGCGGGTTATCTTTTCAGGAGGGTGTATAGCGTATATTCATCATCAACTGGTCAAACAGACATAGGTAAAAGTGATACCCCAAGTCCGTGCCATGATTTGTGGATGGTCTTGGTTCTGGGGTCCTTACATTTGTAAACAAATATATGTGGGTGAACAGATTGTCTTTGTTGTCGTAGGAACAAGAATAATTAAGACACAACCAACAATCACCCCTCTTTTTGGGAGGTATATCAGTTTGGCAAGTTTGGGCCAGGATTTCTCTACCAAACTGATAAATATTCCTGAGAGCTCTGTACATTTCGTTTAAGAACCTAACCTTTGGTTGATAGCAAAACTCGGCAAGATGACTCATGGATTACCAGGATGTCCCTAAAATTGTCAATGGCTATAGTTCATGGCAGGTCAAGTCCGATAGTTGATAGTTGAACGGCTTGCACAGGATCAAGGAAGTGGTGACTTGTTGTCTTGCTTGTTCCATGGGTATCATTGGTTCTCCATGGTGCGAATCCCGAAATCAAACTGCACTGCATCTGCTGTTTCCACAGGACAGCTTTGAAGGACTTGGAACCCAGTATGGGGAGGCAGGTGCGAAAAGTTTCTCGGTAAACCGACACATGAGTGTCGGTGAAAATGATCAATTAGAGGAACCTCCAAATAGATGAAGTGTTTAATTTGGAAGGTCAAATTTGCCATGTTGTACGGAAAGATGGTTGGATGGAAGCATAAATAGACGGATTGGTTTGGATTGGATTGCGTTGGATTAGATTCGATTAGATTAAATTAGATGGATGGATGGATGGATAGATGGATACATGGATAGATGTATGGAATTGATTTTATTCAATGATACAAATATGTATAAGATATAATTACAGATATACAAAAACATTTGCCAGGCTTGCAATTGTTCTATTTATTTGTTTTGAGAGTTGTAGTCAGAACTTTACTTTGTGGGTCCATTTGTACCTTTAACAAAAACATCCTTATGTGAACGCCAGCTGACCACCGAAGGAGATTCAAACGATCATTCATGGTAAACCCTAGAAGAAACTCCAATATCATGATCATGGTTTGATATATGATTAATGTAGAAAATACTAAGCCCAGATGTCAAAATCATGCTGATGACCATTCGGTTTACCATACTTCTGCATCATTGTTGTTGTGACCTCATCGGCCACCCAAACCCCACAAATGTGTTACCCAGAACTTTCGATGGACTTGTGAGATAAGTTATCCAGATTCGTATCATCCAATATGTGATATCATATATGACAGTGACATAGATACAAGAGTTTTAAACTAGATAATGTAGGTAATCTCTATATATATATAATATAAATATATATATATATAATACATATATATATATGTTTGTATTAATAAAATGATATGTGTTTAAAACCTGATTCTCCAGATACAAAACCCAGAGATTTCGATCGTAGACGTCGACGTTTTTGCGGTTCTTCGGCGCCGAGGCTTGGGAGTCGGCGAAGCGCGTTGTGGTGACCGGTGGCATTGGTCAAGGACTGACGGTGACGTGGTGACGGTCAGCCTTAAATGTAAGGGTTACAAGTAATTGCCCTGGGAAACATGGACAAAATGGTGATTTTACCACTAGAAATGGTGATTTAATGGTGATTTTGATGGTTTAAGAATGGTGAATCATGGGATGATATTGCATTTAGCCTCTGGTAAACTAACAGATTGCGCACTGGAAAATCACCATCTTTAATAGGTAAATCAACTATTTCTATGGGTAATTTTCAATAGCTATGTTCAATTACCAGAGGGTAGATGTACTATGAACATTGTATAATATACAGATATATACCATACTTTTTTGGGACAATATTTGGCCTAGTAACATTAAGTCTATTAAAACTATGGGTTTCCAATATGTTTTTACTAAGCTTCTCTTTATAGTAATTATCTAGTTATTAAAAATATACTAAAATATCTGGTCCCATAGGCCTTAAATTTTGACATATCCCCATGTACCAGTTTTTTTGGTAATGATATACTGTACTACTGTATTACAATAAATAATATCTTGGGAATATTGGGAATTATACGTACGTATATCTCAACTATATAATATCATATCCCAATCACCAACCCGCGTTATTGGTATAAAAATGGGATATTAGTAACCAACAATATCATAGTTGATAATATGTGTATATGTGTAAGGGTATGTTTGAATTAGTAGTTTGCAGTGATCCAGGTTCTACCTTGCAGCCGCTGCACGTTGTGCTTCCCCCATGGTGGATGCCAGGAAAACGTGCTATCTCTAAGAACGCTATGGCAGATTTGACCCTGGCAGAGCTATGCACGGAGGCGGTATGGGTTGGGGCCACACGTTGCTGTTGCCTCAAACACATTATGATGGGTTTGAATGACCGTTGAGGAGCCACAAAAGATACCATCTGGTTATTTAACGTAGCTATGACAAATCATAATGCTGAATAGATAGGTCATGATTGTTTCTCATCTATAGATTGACCATTTTCCATAGCAAACTCTTAAATAACCAGAAAATAATTTGGACCATTGATGGCCACCAAACATGTTTTCAGCATCAGATTGTCCGGCCCTGCAACAGGTCTACAGATTTCCTGTGCGATTGAAATTAGCTGACCTGCAAAATCGCAAGGATTGTGCTGATGTGACTCCGGCTGCCGAAGGGGGCATGAGGCCTTAAAGATCTTAAAGTGTGCAAAGCATCAATTTCTACATTGAACTATAGAAAAAATCCCAAAATAGGCCACCTTATTTTAGGCTACATGTGGAGGTTTCCTAAAATGGTACCCAAAATCATCCAAGTCATTAGATTGTTGATCTTGAGGATTCCCATTGAAGACCTCATTGGACGATCGAAACCAAAGGAAATGGGAACATCAACCAGTGCTTGTAGCCACTTTCTCAGCAGTTATATCAATGGGTTATCACTATTTTATCTATATATAAATATATCTAAAATTATTATTTTTTTGCATACTATACAATATACACATATATATACATACACGTACATATACATATATACATATACATATACATATACAAATACATTAGCATAGACATATGTATACATATACATAATACATACACATATACATAATACATTAACATAGACATATACATATACATATATGTATACAATCCCCAGTTATACATGTTTTTTCACCACTTAGCATTCACCTCCGGTGGAACCTCCGAGGCGATCCAAGACTTTTGTTCTTCGGAGCCGGCGAGCTGCGCTGCATGCGCCTGGGAACGGCTGCCACCGCCTCCCTGGATGGGGCGCTTTAACCACCAGGTGGGGTCGCAATGGGCGGAAACCCCCCTGGAAACGCACTGGTAAACTAACCATAGGAAAACCATAGGAAAACCATAGGAAAACCATAGGAAAATGGTGGTTTAATGGGATTTAATGGGATATACCCTCTGGTAATTTGTTACATAGCTATTGAACATGGCCATTGAAATAGTTGGTTGACCCATTCAAAAGGGTGATTTTCCATAGTTATGTTAGTTTACCAGAGGGTACTGTCTACTGGAAAGATGGCAAATAAAAGTAATTACCTAATTCATCCTAAAATGTCCAAACAAATTAGGTGAACTGGCGTATTTCTTGTAGAAAATGATTTTTGAGTTCAGTGTTCAAGGCATTTGTTGGATATTTCTTGGCAGTGGTTGGTCGTTTCCCTTGAGTCAGATCTCCACTTGACAAGGAAAAAGAAAAAGACACCATTGAATTGGCAAGGCATGAACTAGAAACTAGCATTTGTTAAAAACACTATGAAAACAATGGCAGTTCATGAATTGAAAAATCACCATTTGTACTTCCCTAGCCTTTCGACAGGCATTTTACCAGGAACACATCCAGTGTTGGAGAGATGATAGCAGCATTTCTTGAATATTGGTAGTCGCCTTGACACCAGAGTTCTCCATGGCAAAAAAAACAATCGACGTTGTTGTCGGAGGTGTACTTGGCCTGTTTTCAGTGATCCATATGTGCATATTATCTCAGGTGATTTGCGTGGATGGTAAAATTCTCGTCACCGGCGGTGTTAGCTACTGGACATGGAAAAAGGCGGATGGGATGGTTGTTTTTTTTTCTTTTCGGATGAATCACGGCTGACCTTGTACGGTTTGAGAAGTTTGGCTACACCAGCCTTTGCCATCTATGACGTTTGTATTAAAAGATTTGAAGGATTTCAGTACTCCTTTGCGGTAAGTAAAGATGATGCCTGCTGTGTGTGGGTCCCTTCCCCAAGAACAAGATTGAAGCACTTGATGATGTTTCCCAACCGAAACTGATTATGTGCATGGTTGGTTTGGGGAGTCTTCTCTGGGTGTGTCATGATCTATGTCCTTTACTTTTGGATGTCTCCAATGAACGTTCCTTCCACCGGGTTTCAAAGAAAGTCGCTGATAAAGTCAATCCACTTTGCCGGCCGTTGAACCACACCATCCAATTATGAATATGTTATTCTTCCTGATGAAACTCGCAGAACGAATGCAGGTCATGTTTGCGTTGACACTGTGCACTTAGTGAGCCATATTGTTAGCCAATTGCTGATGGTCCAATAGTTAAATGTGTTCTTACAAGCACATTTGTAATATCTTATCATTCTTATCCCTTTGCAATTAAGCGAGTTGTTCGTGGGTTGTAAAATAGCATAACATTGCCAAACACGAGTTGCAAGATATAATGGCAATGATCAATGGCTGTTTCGACGGCTTGCTCACCATTGATCCAACCATTGGTTGATTCCCCCGTCCATTTGTATTCCCATTTTTCCCCACCTGCCAGGTCAGGTTCTCTAGATTTTAACAAAGGAGCAACTCTTTCCGTCTCCTTCTCCTCCTTCTCCTTGTCTATTCCTCCGCCAGCTCGTCCTGACTGTCGGCAGCAATCGATCCGAACCACATCGCAAGATCCGGATGCAGTGGGGCACGCATGGACCCGAGCATGCCAGAGAGAATGCCTGAATATCACTTTCACTTTTCACTTTCATTGCAAATAAAGGTCTATGCCTTTGCTGCACTTGCACATTCTCGAATTAGATGTACAAAAGACGCCTATGTACCCTGGTAGTCTGGAAGCCATGTGTTCCTATACATCACTGTACTGGCTCGTGCAGCACCATGGATCCACTTCATCAGGGACTCAGGCAAATTGCCAATGCAACTGACTTCACGCTTGCGCTTAGCAGCAGTCAGTGCTTGAACAATGGAAAACGCAAGGCCTTTACAGAATCGTGGCGGATACTCCTTGTGTCTCGATGTTCTGAACTGTCCGGAGGGATCGCGCCCTATTGCGACGTCCTTGGGCTTGGAGGCATAGAGATCCGCATGCTGATACAAGTCCTTGCGAAAGTTAGGCATATGATAATGCAAAAGGCCAGTCGGCTTGACCACAGAGGCTCCCCATTGATACTGGTTGACGTGTGTCAGCTTCGCATCAGGGTGGCGGAGGAGAACCTCGATGATCGCACTGGACCATATGCTCGGGCGTTGGGCATCTGTAGGTTTGGCCGGGTGTTCTGATACCAAAACTCCTCCTGATTGCATGTGATGGCTCAGTACCAATGCTCCTTGTTGGTAAAAATTCCCGCCAAGATGACACTGCTTCAATTCGCGTGCCGTGAGGCCATCAAGTCCCAGCAGTCTCTCCGCTGATCTCAGCGGTCTTGGCCAAGGGGCACCACCTGTCGGCAAACTCTCCGGCAAGGTAAATCGAGCCTCACTGAAGGTTTCACAGGGTGAACCCAATAGGGTAGCCGATACGGCACCTGCAGCATATATCCGCATCAGCTGCTGCCAGGAATCGGAACCCAATGAGAGGTCACCAAAATCAGTGCTGACCGCGGTGTCCAATGACAAAACCACCAGCTTCAAATTACGCTCCGCTCCAAATTCATGAAGATAAGCATGAACATCCTGATGTCTCCTCCTGCCACTAAAGAGGTGGACAACTAGAAAGGCTTCTTCACCGCTAGGGAGCAGAATCATGGGGCACAGTCTAGTCGGCGGCAAGTCAAGGAAATGCATGGCTCTGACACGCTGTTGCCATTCGGTCTGGTCGGCAAATGATCTTGGCACCTTTTGGACAACCTTACTGTTGGATTTAGGATGCTTGGTTCTCCCCGCCTCTGGTGGGGCACGGTGTGCTGAAGGCATCGGTGGGACACAAAGCTGCAACCTATGCTCAAGATGTGCTCGCCTAGCCAAATTCCTGTATCGTTCTAACTGAGAAGCAAAGTCAGCAAAGATATGGTCAATGTCAATCTCTGCAACTCCATCTTCCAGCGTGTCGGTCAGATCTGGCATCCAATGTTCTCCCCAGAGCAGAAAAACCCACTCCAGCCAAGGATCCAAGTCATCCTCTGTTTCAAAGCTCCTCTTGCAAAGCACTTCAACCCAAGCGTCAACCAGAAGCGCCTTCTCATCTTCTGTTGGTCCGTTGGGATAAAACTGTCTGAACCAGCAAAGGGTAGCCTTTGACAATTCTTCCCCAATTTTTTCACCTTCACCCACTGGATCGGGCGGTTGGTGGGGAATTTGCAGCTTCTGCTTGCACTCATCCAATTCAGCCAGGGTCTGGATCCTGTGCGTCTCCCACACGGGGCAAGGGTTAATCGCAGGGCCTGCAGTTTGGAGGCATTCACGGCGGTGCAAACCTGCATATGCAGCGGTAGCTCCTACATCTTCCTTTTCATATGGAACTTGCCGTGCTTGTGTCTGCAGTGCATAGAAACATGGGTTAAACCCAAGGGCTTTCGGGATGTAAGCCAAATGCTGCTGCAAGCGTTGGGTGGACCACATGAATTTGCCGCAATGTAAGCAAGTGCAACCCTGCAGGAATTGCCTCTCAACTGAAAATAAGGCATGTGCCTTGCGCTGATGTGCCAATAACCCTCGTCTGGTGGCAAAAGTTTTGCCGCAGAAACAATCATGTCGTTCTTCCCAATCCAGAAAGTCGTCCTGTGCCGTGGTGAATGTGGCTCCTGCCTCTCGAAGGTTGTGAAAAATACCAGCATGAAGGGATTTCGCATCAACAATGATGGCATTTTGGGCAAGGTGCAACTTCCAAGTCTTTTTAACCAATCTGACCCAGCAGGTTTGCGGTTCTTGCCACCATTCAAATAGCGTCGTCATGTCCTGGCTCCATCCCTGGGGCAGACTCCCTGGGTTCACGTTTTCCATCCAGTCAAGATCTGCTCGCAGGCCATTCAACCAGGACTTGTCACTGCACGCAAGTTCCTGGTGGATCAGATGGTGGAGAAAAGCCGGGCCAGTACGGAACAGCCGTTGGGCATACAGCAAGCGCTCAATAGCAAGTCGAGGACGAACCTCAGCTGTGTGCGCTAACATAAGCACCCGCTCCGCTGGCACATGGTGTTTGGTCAACCTCAGGACACGTTTGAGAAAACCAACCAAGGCACCTTGCAAATACTGCAGTTGCTTGGGTCCTGGGGTTGCCCAGGCTCCTAGGCCAAAGAACATTCGGGTGGCAATGAGGGATTGGAAAAATTGTAGTCGCAACTTGCAAGGCATATTCTTGTTCGTCAGGATAGGTCTGGCCAGTTGTGCAAAGGTGGATTTAGCAATACCTACCCTGGCTCGAAATTCACACTGGAGATCATGATTGGATGCAAACAGGGTTCCTAAGTGGCGATAAGTCGGAACGAAGTGCAACCATTCAGTCTGCCCATCTTCAAACGTGCAAATGACACCAGGATTCGAGTGCAGTTGAAATCTCTTTCGGAGGTCACCAGAATTGGCTCCCTTCAGCGTTACAACAGCACTAGTCTTGCCCTTTGAAAAATTCAATGTGAATCCATAATCCTGCAGTGTGCCTCGAACAAATTGCAAGACTTCCTGAAGAAAAGGAATCAGTTCTTCGGCCTGTCTGGTAGCAAGTGGTACGGCAATATCATCTGCCCACAGGATGGAGGGGGCCTCAATCTGGATTTCCTTCAGCAACTTCCCAAATTCCTCTTTGGTCATGAGCCAGGCATCAATGGATTGGGCTATTTTAGCCATCAGGGCATGAAAGATGATATCAGCAATGGGACTACCAGGTCTGGTGCCCCTATGCGTTCGCAGCAACCATCGTTCATGAATGGAGCACCATGTGTTGATGTGAATGTCTCGCAACAATCGGACAATGGGCTCGGCCAGGCCCAGTTCAGCCAACAGTCCAGGCAGCTCGGAGAACCTACGAAAGTCAGGGCGCAGGTTGCTCTCCTGTTGCAGCACTGCAAGCACTGGGTCAAGATTGCAGCCATCATACGCACCTACCACGCTTTCTCTGATAAGGTGATGGAAGGCGCTTGCCAGATCTAGGAAGAGGATGGCGCTGCTCAACCCTGCCTCATCACAAATGGTGCCAAAAGTCCTGATGGCATGAGATCCAAAGATTACTTGCTGACCAGGAAAGCCTCCTAATTGGCCCGGTGCCCTAGCAATCTCGAGCTTCTTCATGAGCTGTGCACGCAAAACTGCATGGGTTCGTTTGCCGACACTCGGAAGCAAGAGAATTCCTCTGAATTGCTTGGCCGTTGTTGGATGCAAAGTTTTGGGTATCAAGGCGACTGGTCCACCTTTGTCCTGCACTGGTTCACTTTGCCAAACATATTCCTTGATAACTAAATCATGGAAGAGTGTGGCCAATGGGACGGCAGCTGAATGAAAAAGGTCAGAAGGCAAAGGATCGAATCCAGTGGCTTTACCTGAGGCAGCTGCTCGGAAAGTCTGTTCCAGGTGCGTCAGGCCTGGTAGCTCAGATAGATTGACCTTCAAAGGTGCATCCAACCTGCGCAGGGCTTGTTCAAAGATACAACCTCGAACAAGTTGGTCTGGCGTGGTGACAACCCCAGCCTCAAGCTCAGCATAGTGTGGCAACCACTGGTCTTCGAGTCCTTCAAGCTGACATGGAGGGATGTTAAGCCTACGCTGCTGGAACTTTGGGAGTGATCTACGGACAACTTTCCAAAGATGCTTGACATCTTTCGGCTGCAAAAACTCAGTGCAATCTTGCATCAAGCCTGAGAAAAATCCAATGTCATCAGCACGCAAGGCCTTAGTAACCTGAACTCCTAGTGATCGAAATTGATGATAGGCTACTGCAACAAGGCGATCTTGCTCGACGATCAGTGCGTCGAAAGCTTGGGCAAGTTGGTCAAACGGACATTCATGCAACGCATGCTTCCAACAGGCAAACCATGCTCCGAGAATTGTGCGTCGCTGCCCTCTTGCACGTTCATGCAGTAGATTGCGACAATTACGTTTCTCTTGAACCAACTGCCAAGTGAGTTCCGTCATTGTGGTCCTTTTAGGTCTGGCCTGCTTTGGAGGCTCCGGTGAACTTAGGTCACTTAGTTCGAACTTAGTTTGAACTTAGGTTTAAGGTGGTTTTGAGGGCTTGCTAAGTGGAAGCTAAGTGCAAGCTAAGTGAGCTAAGTTTTTTGATCGGTTTTTCGCCTGTTTTTCTTCTATTTACGTTTTGTTTTTTTTTGTCATTGTCTGTTTTTATTTTAATATAATTTTGCCATGTTGCAGGACGGATCTCGTTGACGCAGCTGTTTTTTTTCTGGCAATGCTTTGCGAAGGTCGGGTGAGAAGACGGCTGCATCATCGAAGCAGCCAAAGGCCCGTGGTGCCTTCACGAAGCAGGTGCATTGGCTCATGGCCAAGCAACCCTTTCAGCGGCAGCAGTGCCAATTTCGAATTTTCCTTTTTCCACGTAGGAATTTTGGCAATTGAATTTGTGGCTTTGGATAGACAGGTCACAAGCAAGAACAGTTCTTGCGAGGTGGACACACCACCTCGGATTTGCACAGCGCAGTCTTTGGATAGGAGTACGTACGTTCCCTTTTCATATTTGACACATTGATATTCCAGCCCGTAGGCAAACTTCGTGTCACTTGGCAGGCCAACGAGTTTGGCGCAGCTTGGCTGAGCACGTGGCTTCCCTATGAGTCGTCCCGTGAACGACTCTGCAGCATCCGCATCCAACAGTTCCATCTCTGTGAGTTGCAAAAGGCAACTTGTTGAGAATGTCTTCAGGTTGGTCATCTTTGGGGCAACTTGGCTTTTGAAGATGCGATGTTTTCTTTCTCCGACGTAGCAATCTGCGTGACGGCCCCAGCGAAGCACTTGGCTCCAAACATGCAGGGCGTAATGCGCCTTGGGCCTTGTCAACACAGCGTCGTACGCACGTTGAAAGGCCACCATGTGCGCCCGTTGCAGACTTGTCAGAGCCGCTCCACGTACCGGATTCAATTTCATCCTGTACAAACAAGTCAGCACCGCGTACAAAGCATCTAAAGAATCGATTGCTGTTTGCATGGAAGCATTTTCGCGCAAAATTTCTTGCGAAAAGGCCCACACCAATGGCATAGCTGTTGCACAAGCCGAGGCATCCCCACGATAGTCACAGTCTTCTCGAAAGAGATGTTCTGTGCAGCAGGCGGAAGGCGTCAGCAAAGAGTCTTTGGTCGTTTTCCATCCAATTGCGATCCAGTTTCGCAAGAGTTGCAAATTGAAGCCGGCGGCAAGGAAGCGACCAAACCAGAGGCCAAGTTCTTGCGCCACCAGCCCATGCGAATAGTATTGGTGCATCGTGTCTACAAGCAGACAATCCAAAGAAATCCAAGGTTGAAGTTTTTCTGACGCAAAGATGGACCTGCGAAGTTCACGAGCGTTCCATCCCAGAAGCACTTCAGCCTTATTAAGGCTTTGTTTCGTACGACAACTGTCGAAGTGCCTTTGTATATCTTTCAGACCTGCATCAGTGTGTCGTACAAACCGGGTAGAGTCCATCTCTTGGATGGTGACAAAGCCAGGTGGGCAGGCTCTGCCATTGGCCAACACGTTGCAACAAGCAAAGCAGGGTTTTGCCCCTGAGGCGCCCTTACTTCCACTCACGGATCTCAAGCCTTCATGATCATTCAACAGAATAAGATGCCGTATGAACCCCATCTCAGCTTCACCGCCAATGGACAAGGCGAAGCCGTTCTCCACTTCTTCAAACACATTTTCCAAAATAGCTCTTGTCACCTCCGCGTAGGAGGACTTCGCATCCGCGACCTCGTTCGATCTCACCACAGAGAGAGGCAGCCACAAACCTTCCACATGGAGAAGGGGAAATTCCCAGAAGGTAAAGTAATATAGGTTACTTTTCCGCGGATGCCGAGCTGCCAAGATGTTTCCTGGATTTGCCTCATCTGCAAAGAGCAGTAGACTTAGGGCATTGCTACGCTGTTTCAAAGCCTGCAGCATCATATAGGCAAATAGGCCACATCTGTCGACCTTTTCTTGAATCAAGTCGGGAACCGTGTTCAGATGTATCGCTAGATTGGAATCGGGCAGCTTCACTTCGCGTAGAAGTTTGTTTGCCTGCGGATATTTCAAATGCTGCTTTCGGCACGTAGCCGCTCCTTGCTCATCGTCGCGAAGCAAGGTGATGACTCTACGGCAGTCCTCGTGGGACAAGCCCCGGATTTGTCGCAAGGCCTGAAACTGTTCCACCGGCGTAGCACTTGGATCCAATTTTCGTTTCATTACCGCTCTATTTTGAGCCACAGGGTGCACTGGAGACAAGCAAGACGCTACAAGCACAGTTCCGCAGGCGAATGCGCGCAGAGACACGGGTGAGTGTATGGATGCATGCAGTAACACTGGTGTTCTATTCCCATCAGTGCAAGTATTCTGGGTGTCATTTGAAACAAGAAACACATGGATGCTTCAGGGAAGAAAGACGGAAGTTATATATTGCAACAGGGAAACGTGTGTGCTGTCGTTGTTTCTGTGGGGTGTCGTATTGATGCGCATTTTTTTCCACAAGCGAAACACACAAGGCAACGTCAGAGTTCAAAGCGTCACTTGACAACCCCAGTCAAGAGTCGAGATACCAACCTCGGCACAAAAGTCCATGGGTCACGCCACGGTACAGGTTCTATATGGATTTCGCAAACCCTTGGCCTGCGGAATATTTCTCTCGACATCCTAGAGTCTTGGGACGTGGAGCCTTCGAGAAACCATCACAGCAGCATCGAGCGCTTAGCTGCTCTTGATGCGGCGCCGCTTGGGCTTAGGCTCACCATTGTCACCCTCACTTGGCAGGGCGGAGCCAGGATTGGCCTTGGCCTTGGCCTTAGGCTTTGGCTCTTTCTTGGGCATTGATTCCTTCAAATCTTTTTGCCCTGCTGCGCTTTGCTGCAGCGCGACTTTCAAATCTGCCGGATCGAAGGGTAAGGCAGCCAAGGCAACCGGATCAACATCAGCTGCCAGACCCTTATTCGCCTCTTGGGCGTTCACAGCCGCACGGGCTGCTGCGCTCCAACGCTTCATCGTCTCTAGCGAATCTTGGCACAGCGTCTTGGCTGCAACATTGACGTTCTCCACATTCTCCGTCCTGGCCAGCAATTTACCCAGAGCAGATTCACCAGCACACAATGGGCCCATGGCTCGAGCAGCCAAAGCGGCAATCTTCGCATTGTTGCTCACAAGCTTCTTCTTCTCTGCCGCCTTAGTTTTCTCTTCTTTAGTAGTGTCATCCTTTTCAGCTTGGCCTGGCACATCTAAGTCTTGGTCGCCTGTGCCTTTGCCACCCTTCTTCTTGGCTGCGGTTTTCTCTTGCTCCAGCACCTGCTCCTCAACCGTTTGGAACGCTTCTTTCCAGCGCAGCCTTTGAATGGGAAGTTCATGCACATACGTTCCATATTCATCGCTCCACTTGGGTTCAAACCGGTCAATGACAGCATCCTCCCAACCACGTTTCTGCCATACCGTCTTGGGCAAGGCTTCCTTCTCCACAGTAGCCGTGAATTTTCGAATGACGGCTTCCGTTCTCTTCTTCACCCAAGCTGCCCGGATCGTCGTCCACTTGAGACGACCATCAGCGGCGTCTTTTTGCTGGGAACGGAAAAAGTCATGTGTCTCATCTTTGGTCCACTGGGCTATGTCCGCAGTGGTGCCCAAGTTCCTTCGGATCACTGATGCGATGTTCCTGCATTGTGTGCACGTGAAGCAAGCCCCGTGCTGTCGGCCATCGTCCTCCGCGTAGGAGTAGCCGCAGCTCTTACACACCTTCTTGGGTGCTTCTGCCATGCCCTATTCCGACAGCTGTGTGGCGTCAAGTGGGAGGCCAGAATGTCGGAGCCAGAACCTGCAGACACGACAAGGGACAAAAAAAACGTGGGAAAACGGAAAAGTTTGAAACAGATTCTGAAAAAACTGTCAAATTTTAGTGGCCATCCGAACACATTCCGCACACATTCGGGAGGGCTTAGATCCGTATATCGCACACATCCGCACATATGCGCCGCATCCTGCATGCAACTTTGCACCCTCCGCACACATTCCGCACATAAGTTTAAGATGACATTTCCATCCTTTAAGTACCTTTTTGTCGTCCCGCACACAACAATGCGCGCAGGTCTGTTTTCCCTCTTCCGCAGTCCGCACACATCCGCACACATTCCGCACACTTTTGCGAATTAGCCTTTCACGCCTCTGTCAGCGTCGCCTTGTCCTTGCATTGCTCGTAGCTGCGCAGCCACGTGGGCACGCATTTTTGTTAAGATATCCATAGTCAACAGACACCATAGCATCGCTTGCCGGGCATCCGGTCGCTTAGACAGACGCCAAACTAGAACTGCGAGCAGCTTCCTGGCCTGCAGCGCTTGGCCGCACAAGTGCTGATCACCACCATAGACTTGCCAGCCATGGCTGACCTTCTTGTACCGCGCAGGCACAAGGCAATGCCCCGGTCGCGTGGGGTGAGGCTCCAAATCCAACGCGATGGCGCCCCAGATGCCAAAGTGCAGTAAGGACGACAGTCTGCACAAGACCGCTTGGGCCCATGGCTGACCGTCGTCAGCTGCTACCCACTGGCTTGCGCAGGCAAACACATGCATGACCGTGGCCCATGCATCTTCAAAGTCCCTGCGCGCCACGTGTGGCATAGCTTCTTCCATGCACGTCATGACAGCTTCGAACCCACGTGAGGTCATTGCAAAGGAAACATCAAGAAACATGAACGCATCCGAGGCCCGTATGCCAACAGACATATATGAGTGCACGCCAGCTATAGAGCCAAAAAGGACATCGGGAAAGGAAACGGTATACAGGGGAACCACCTAGAGGGAGACAGTTGACATCACGAACCACCCAAGCCGACCAGACCCAGCCGCACAACCTTTTTTCTCGTTCAGACTCAGAGTGCATCATATCCGTATAGTGCGAAGGCAGCCCGATATATTTCATGTCGCGTAGACATCAGAGATGGCTCGTAGCCAGAGCACCTAGTGGGCCATCAAGGATGATCTGGGCACCTGAATCCAGACCTTGTCATCGCGGCGCCTTTTGCGGTGCCCTGCGTCCTCGTCATCCTCGTCGCTCGGCGGCTTACGCCTGCGAGGACGCTCCACCTCTGGAGTCGGGCTGGGCTTGCGGTGTCTCCGGCGACGCTTCTTGTCCTTCTTCTTTTCCTTGCCGGGGCTCTTCTCCTTGGTGGGAATCTTCTCGCTCCTGGGGCCCATAGCCTCATCAAACTCTGCTTCTTCGCGTGCCTGACGATGCCGTGCCGATCTGGCAGGCACCACCTCCTCCTCAGGCCATGGCTCTGCGGGGCCCTTCTCCTCGTTGGTTTCACATTCTCGCCTGTCCTTCAAGGCGGCCGCACGAATTCGGGCATCGTGCCAGGCCCAGCCTCTCTGCCACAGCTGGCAGGCTATACAGTACTCGCTGAACCACTGGTGCTGGCTCAATGCAGATCCTCGGGCAGTCCGTGCCACTTCCACGTGGCAATAGGGACAGGTCACTCGCCTTGCCTTCCCTTTCCCTTTGCCATACTCCGACAAAGGCATGTCCAGTGCGGATCGAGGCGCGGCTGCCGGCAATTCGCTCCGTGCCCTCTTGGGGCTACGCGCGTCAGCTGCCGCAACGCTCCGTGTCCTCTTGGGACTCCGCGCGGCCTCTGGCGCCACACTACGTGCCCTCTTGGCGCTTCTGTCACGACTGCGGCCTTCACGCCTGGCACGCCTGGGTGAGCTCTCACGTGGAGGGCTGAAAGGAGAAGGCAACTCCCTTGGACGAGCACGTAGCCCGCGATCGCTCGATGACCGCTCCTCCTTCTCTTTTTTCACTGCCTTCGACTTCGACGCAGTCATGCGCCCAGGTCCGCCCCGCGTAGGTGGCTCGGCAGCTGGTTCGGCCCAGGTGGCCTCCTCATCAGTGATGTAGCTATATTCCGAACCATCACCTTCACGAGGAGTCTCGTCCGTCTTCCCCTTCGGCGCCATGGCTCCTGCAACGTCGACATAGAGGACATCGGGAGCGCATAGAAGAAACCCATATTTCCTTTCAGGGGGAAAATAAAAACTTACGCCATGCAATCTCCTGTGGGACGCCCGCGGAGGGATCCCCACGGAGCCAAACCCTTGCAGCACTTGAGGCTATATATATATATATGGGTTAGACAGACACACGTCACACATGACATACATGGCAGGAAACACTGGGGTGGATTTAGTAAGGTTCTTTGTGCTGATTGATGGTGCTTCTGTGATGAAGTGATTGGCGTTGCTTTTATTTAGTGGGTGGTAATGTGGATTTAAAACTGAAGAATGGTGTTCCGGATGTTTACAAATCGATCAGTTATAACCAAAAAACAAATATGACTGATGCTAAGCGTCACTGTGCAAAGATCCGATGTGTATAGTAGGTGATTCTGGTGTTTTTGTTGTGGCACAGAGCCCCTCCGCGCTCTGCGCGGTGGCGCCCTCCACAAACTTTACAGCAGCGCCTCCCATAAATTTTAACAAAGGAGGCAACACCTCCTTGAAAACAGGCTTGTGCGCAGGAGACCTTGCAAGGCCTTCCTTATAATGTCTGTCGAGCTATGATCAATCAATAACTTTGGCGTTACAGGAGGTTTCGATATTAAGGGCGATGTCCTCCTTGAAAGTTTCCGGGTCGTTCTCGGGGCCACTGTGTTTATGCGAAAGCGAGCAGCACCAAAGGACATTTGTTCAGCTCACATGCCTCGGTCCCGAACCTAACTAGCAGAAGAACTTTGGTGAAGTCGAAACTTCATATGCACCAACAAGTCGTCCAGGCAAGCGAAGCAGCCTTCGAAATGCGGCGCCTGGGGCAGCAGGTCATGAGGCATGGCGTTGATGGCGCCCAAAAGAAAAGAAGCAGCGCTATCCAACTCACCAACCTTTCCTGCAAGCAACCCGCGCGATGTCAAAGCTGGACATTTCTCGATCTTCTCTTGCATAGGCTGGATTTGTCCAGACCTGGTGTAAAGGTGAGCGGTCCATGTACAGTCTGTGGGCTCTGTGCCAGGGCGGTCCAGCGTCATCTGAAGGATGGTGAAAAACATGATGGCACAGGCAAGCGCACATGACCTGGTGCGGTCTTCCTTGAAGAAAGGCTGGCAAAAAATCAAAGCCTCACGAGCATTTTCCAGCTCAAACGCGCTCTTCTCCTTGAGTGCTGGATCCCACAGCAAGAAGGCTTGGACGCCCAACTGCAAGTCAGCTCTGTTGAGGACACCTTGGGGCAATCTCTTCTCACCTGCTGCTGCCATGTTGCAGGTTAGACTAGTTTTGTGAGCCAAAACCTGGGTCGAATGGGTCGATGCGATGGACAAAGCAAAACCGAGGTTGAATTGCATTGCGGCAATGTTCAGCACTGAATGTGCAAGCAATGTGGTAACCACGGCTAGCGCAGCTGACTCAAATGATTTTCAACAGGTCAAACTGGAAACATGCCGCCTATTCTTCAAAGAATGCCACGTGCTTGGAAAATGCATCGCACTAAGCGTCGCACTACACAAACAGACATGGCGTTGCCAATCATATGTCCTAATACCCTTTGTGGAAAACGTTGAAGTTCTTCAACATCTCCAGGCTTGTAGGCCCCAGGCCACACGCCTTGAAGCAAAAAAAAACTATCGGGGTGAGGAACCTCTGGCCTTGATGCCACCAGTAGCAATGCTTTCCTTTGCATCTGGTGGCAGTGAGGCAGGGGCATTTGTCCTCCATCCAAGTTGCTGAAGAACCGCCTGTGTCGACAATGAAGTCAGAGTCTTGTTTGGCCGGATTCTTGTCCAAAAAGTCTTGAAACTGGATCAAGTTCTTGCGGGCTGTGCTGGATAGAGCTGAGCCGTCGACATCGTGTGTCTTCTCCCGCAAGTTGCACTTCCATTCCATGGCAGGATTGCCAAGGAGCTGCTTGAGCGTGAGCCGCTCCTTGAAAGGCACTGGCCACTCAAAGTGCTTCACTTGCACGTCTCGGCGAATACCCACTCTGCAGAAACTCAGCCGTGGGAAGTAATAACTAAGTTGGAGGTACACTCACAGCTGGGCCAGGACTGCAAGGATCTTAAAATGTCTCCTGCTAAAATCAAGACGGTTGTACCATGCCATGCGTGTGACCCGTACTAAATTCGGGCCAACTGCAGCATTCAACGCGTATTTGACTGCCATGCTCGTGACCCGTACTAAATTCGGGCCAGCTGCAAGAGTCAACGCGTATTTGGCTGCCATGCTCATGACCCGTACTAAATTCGGGTCCTCTGGAGAGTTCAAAGACCAGGACTGCCATGTTAGCACATGGTCAACCGTGTAAGAACACGGCGGCCAAACGCGTATTTGCCTGCCGTGCTACCACCTGGCAGACCGTGCACTAACATGGCGCAGCCTCCTTGATAAAGAAAGGAGGCTGCCATGTTAGCACATGGTAAACCGTGTACGAACACGGCGGCCAAACGCGTATTTGCCTGCCATGCTGTACATGGTGAACACATGCAACACATGGCGGTCGAACTGCTTCCTGGAAATAGTAGGGAGAGGCCTTAGTAGCGATCTTTTTTAACTCAACTTGCTGCCCGCGGAAGGCAAAAATAGACAACAGGAGACTGCAGAAGCCTCCTTGCAACATGAAACGTTCGGCCTGTACAGGACCAGGAGACCTCTTGCACCTCCTTGTACCTTGTTACTGAGTGAATTCAGAAGTACGATGCCTCCGTCCTTGCAGGAGTCTACTGGAGCCTCCTTGATTGCTATTGCAGCGCATGCCAATTGACAGCCGTAGTTGCAGCAGGACAGGAGGCTCTTGACACTCCTTCTGCAATCAAAGTTGCCGAAAACAATTTCACCTTTTCTCTTCCGTCGTCGCGCACAGGAGACTTCGCTTGAACCTCCTTCGTGGACGAGTTTGCTTGAGTTGGGCGGGTGGCACTGACACACAGGAGATAGGTAGCTTTCAGCAGTGCGGTGAGCAGGCGAAGCAGCATGTTTGCGGAAACGAGCCACACGAATGTCACCACTGTTCACTTCATACCTTGCAAAGTGATGCCTGGAAACCGGAAACTTGGACATGGCTTCAGGACTCACTTCCTGAGCATCATGGCACAGTCGGCAGCCCAAGCCCCAACTGCCACTCTCCATATTCATTTTGGCGTCCAACCATGCTAATTCTTTCTGCCATACAGGCTTATATTTCACCCATGTGCATCGAGCACATTTTGCACCTGCAGAGCAAGCTTTCACATGTGCATCATCATCATAGCCGCCAAGCGAACAGTTGCCCAACTGCTCTGACATACTTGCTGATCCCTAGGTTTGAGCCGGTCAAGCAGAAAGGGAAATGTGTGCGGCTTGCAGCTAACAATAATAATGACTGATCAACTGATAGGAAAGCCTGCCAAGCTGGCTGCCGCCATGAAAGAAATTACTGAATGACACTCAGCCACCGTTCAAAGTGACCCCTTCGGCCATTTTTTCCCCTCAGCCGCGTCTCCCCTGCGGCGATGAGACGTTGATACACTCCGAACAACGGTCAGAGGCGACGTCCAAAAATGATCTTCAGCAAGTATCTGAATCTCAGTCTGGGAAATAGCAGCTTCAACAGCGCAGCTCTGCTCGGATCTTTTTGGCTAACTGGCGTGTCTCCGAGTTCTCAGCTGTCAGTGTTAAACATAGGGGTTTAGTTTAGTAACAAAACTTGAGCAAAAAGAGTCGAAACTTCTGGTGCAGTCAAGATGCGCTGTTCATCAAATAGCCATGCTTGTCTTTGAGCCCACCCTGCGGAGAAGCTGCTGTTGAACCATCTGGGCTGAGGTTGCTGCATCCTGCTTCCATGGCTTCTCAGAATTGCAAAACAAAGTCGACCTCTTTGGGCTCACCGGCATGAGGAGCTGGCCAAATCTTGTCGCTTGGCTCGTCTGACACATGGCTGAAAACATTGGTTGAGAAAACGCTGCTACTGACACAGGAGACCTAAGGAGCCTCCTTGCGTGACTTCCCCCTAGTAGCTGCTGGTGTTGACCAATTGTCCAGGAAACTATAGAAGCCTCTCTGCGCAATGAGCGTGGCAAAAAAAAGAAGAAGTTCACAAAACACTTTTCTCAGGAGTGTGTACCTCCTTGGCCAAGGAAGCTTATATGATGAATGTCAATGATCCTTGCTCAGGAGGGTGCACCTCCTTGGTCAGGACACTGATGGATAATGAAAACATGTCAATGATTGTTGCGTGCACCTCCTTGGTCCTGGTCAGGAGGTGTGATAATGAAAACTTGTGAATGAAATCCTTGCTCAGGAAGGTGTACCTCCTTGGCCAGGACAGGAAATCTGAATTCATTATGGAAACACTGGTAAATGATCTTTGCTCAGGAGGGTTTAGCCTTCGGCAAGGCATGTGACATATGAATTTACATGAGTCGATCATGGAAACAGTAACATCTAAACAAGACAAACATGTTTGAAGCAATACGTTTTCTCCAATATGTTAAATCAAGAGAGTTTTGGGCAACACATACATATCCCTGAATGACTTGTAACATATGTTAAAAACCAACTCTATAACCATGTCTTAAAACATAGAAGCACCACCAATCAGCGCAAAGAACCTTACTAAATCCACCCCAGAACACGCAGAGACACGGGCAAAGACAAGACGCGACAGTGACAAGGAAACCTTCCAACCCCACAGGCACAAGGACAGCAGCTGCAGCACATCTTTTTTCAGACCCGATGGAGCATAAATGCGACAGTCACGGAAAATAGCCGCGCTCGGCCCAGCAGCTTGGAGTACACAAAGCCCTCCGCCGACACTTCTGACATCCGTTACGGAAACGGAGCTTGAGCGTCCGCGGTACCTTCTTCAGCACAGCTTGACGCACCTGCTCGCGTGCGGACAGGTGCGCTGACGGCCCCGTAGGCCTGGCCTTCGCCTTAGGCATTGCCTTGCCCTTAGGCATCGCCACTTTAGCCTTGCCCTTAGGCATGGTCTTAGCCTTTGCTTTGCCCTTAGGCATAATCTTCGCTTCTGCCTTGGCAGGAGACTTGCCCTTGGACTTAGCCTTGCCTCCAGTTGGCTGCACACTTGCTTTGGCCTTAGGCATGGCCTTGCTCCTGCCAGTCCCTCCCTGCAATGATCCCGTAGATCCCTCAGCGGCACAAATTGCGGCGTACGCAACCGTGCCAATTGCAGCTGCTGGCCGCTTCAAGCCCTTCTTTGACGCAGGACGTTTCAAAGCTGCTTCCTCCAACAAACGAGCGTTGCCTTGTAATGCTTCCAACTGCTGTTCCACTGACATCTCCGGATCCTTCTGCTCGTCTTGCACAGGTTTTTTTGGAAGACACCCCGTAGGTGTCTTCTCTTCCACAAGACCATCTTCAATCGCCAACAGCTCCTTTTGTGCAGGCACCGGACATGTTACCGGACTCGACAACGATAATACTTGCTGTGTTCCAGCATTCTGCATTCCCCGCGAACATGCTTCGACAACCTTGCAGATTGCATCCACACTTAAGCCAGATGATGCAGACCCTGAGGACAAAGAACCTGCAGCGATGTCCGCTTCCCCCTGCAGAAGTTTATGATCCTTTCGCAAAGGCATGTTGCGCACGAATTGCATGACATCAGCAGCAAACTCCTTCCGCTCCATCGGTTTCCCCGTAGGAAACACGGACTGTGCAACTTCACTGGGCAAATCTTTCCATGACACGGGCAACTCCAAAATGGTCGTGGACGATGGCGGCACAGACAAGTACTTTGTCACGACGGGCTTCTTCTGCAGGTACAAGTTGTATTTTTCCTTCGCAGTCATTCCTTGGCATAACTGTGTCCAGTAGGCCAACGCGATAATCGTTGCTTTGCTACCTTCCGTTGCAACCCGCAACGTCAGCTTCGCCGCGTGGGCGCACAGGTCAAAAAGCAACTGATCTCTGTCAGTACCCTCACGCAAAATTTTCTGACATAATTCTTCAGTCAAAAAAAAAGGCAAAGTGGCAAAATCTTGCTGCGTCGTACGCACATTATCTGCAACCACAGCTTTCGTCTTGCTCGCCAAAAGCAACCGAAACCCTTCCACGTGGGAAGGGCTCCAGACCTGTGGATCTATTGCTCCAAGAATTCCTGCGGCTTCCCCTGGACTCACTGCCGACATTTTTTCCAAAGATTTCTTTACGCCAGCAGCCTGCTTCTCAACAAAAGTGGCATACGTCGCCAACTCGCGAATTCCACTTAGGAATCTTTGCGCCGCCTGCAGCTGCTTCATACACACAGCCATGACTACGGCAACATATATGGCTCCACCGAGTTATCCAATGGCTGCGCAAACGTGTGACATCACACTGCTCGCCATCCTCCAAAATATTCTATTTCAAAGTCATACATCATACTTGACATATCACTAAAAACATGTTCTTTTTCACAACAAATTCAAAAAAACTACCCAAAACATCCTTTTCAAAAAAAAGCTAAGTGAAAGCTAAGTGAAAGCTAAGTTCAACCTATCTTTTGTCATGTTGTAGACGCTTCCACTTATAAGTAACCTAAGTCCCCCTTATGTTCGACCTAAGCGATGCATAGCATAGCAACAACTTAGGCCATATAACCACTACTTAACATATACTTACCCCACTTATAAGTCCACTTAGCTTGAACTTATAAGTCCCCTAAGTCCTAGGAGCCTCCAAAGTGGGGCTTGACTTGGGAGTCCCACAATTCATCAACAATCGCTTGCTGCAACTCAAAGGCATGCGTGTGCACATCAACATTCCAACTGGGCTTCTGCAGGCTTAAGAGCTCACAAGGGGCTA